ACTACCCAGAACAGAATTTGCGGCTCGAAATTCTGTTTCTTTCCGCCCAAAAACCGCCGATCAAGAACTGGCCGGTTCGAGTCTCGCTCACTCTCTTTTTTGCGGTCACGGGCCGTTTTCTAAGGTATCGATGTGACCACCAAATTTAATCAAAGTCGTGGGTCACTGAAGGCACACACTCCATATTAAAAATAGAATAAAATATGAAATCCATTTTTTGTGTCTTCTAAAAACTGTAAATACGTTGATTGAAAAAAAAAGTTCCACAGACAACCGGAAGCATTCTGTGCGTTCGTCGTTTCGCGTATCATGGGACCCGCGGGGACGGCGATGGTATACTTCGTTTCAGCTTCGGTCCAGACGCAGCCAAAGCTACAAGCGCGAGCTCCGGGCTTTCAGCATCCCTGCCAAGCACGCGCTCTCGTGCAGTGCAAGCACTGGTCTGGGCCACATGCTCGCGCTTGTAGCATCGGCTGCGTCTGGACCGAAGCTGAAACTAAGTATAGGTTGTATTCGTGAAGCGGTGCATGCTGGGACCAGCGCCATCTTGCCGTCCTCGGGAGCAGACAGTCGCACAGTCGCGTACGGACAACCGCATCCTACCTTTTCAAACTTCAGGCGAAGCCGCAGCCGCGCTTTCTGCCTCGGGTATGGTGTCGTGTGTGGTGGTAGGTTGCCACAACAAGACGCAATCGTCAAAGAAGAAGAAAGAGTGCAAGGTCGCAGACGCTCGGTTCTTTAAAATACCGAAGGTACGGACTCGTGAATGCGACACGACGCGAACACTGTCCGCGAGGAGACAGCGAGAATGGTTGAAACGCATCAACAGAAAAGACCTGGACGCTGACCTCGACAAGTACAAGGTGTGCTCACGCCACTTCGTCTCGGGTGAGTGTCGGCATAGTTTGTTTTTCTCTGACATTAACTTCCTGGAGCTTTTCGAATCAGTGGGCTAGGCCTACTTGCAGCGCAAGTTCGATCGAAGTTAGTTGGTTCAGTCATTCTAAAGGATCTTAAAAACACTCGAATGCGAGCTTTCTGTCGCAGGAGCGGGAGAAACAGGATTTAGATAACTATTTTACATTCATGAGCACGATTTTCTGTTTTTATTTTTGCCTTGCAGCAATCTTTAAGGGGTGCCACTGCTCCGGCGGAAAATCGGACAGCTGTTCCGTGTTCTCCCCTTTAGACGTCTTTTGATCGATTCTTTACATTGTGCAGGGGCAGCGGCCGATCTTTTTGACGACTGCAACCCTGACTGGGCACCTAGCCAACATTTGGGTTATGCATCCACGCTCGACGGCCCGCACTCGGTCGCAAAAACATGAAAAGTTAGGCTCACCTTCGAGACGATGATCACGCTGTCCGCGTTCGCTGCTTTCATTGCCGGCTCCTGGACCCATCCGCTCGTAAGGTAATTATGGGCGTCTAATGATTTGTACGCTTTTAGCTGCTTGCGCGTCACGAAACTTGTCTTGAGGATCAGGTAGTTGTGTATGTCGCCCATTTCTACCTGCGGCCATAGGTTGCTGTTCCGGACTAGGTCCATCGGCGGCAGCGCGAACGGATCCGCGCCGCACATTTTAACCTTTTCCTCGTAACGTGTGCGTTCCCGTCCGCTTAAACTTAGGCCGTATAAACCCAGCGGTGGACAACCACTTGAAGAAGACATCTTCACGTTAGCGGGCGAGCAAACACCATAAATACGTCGCACTGCAACGGTGCGTGCGTAACGCGTCCGTCACCTGTCGCTGGGCGCTACGGGAGTGCGCGCGCGGCTGTCTGCTCTCGAGGACGGCAAGATGGCGCTGGTCCCAGCATGCACCGCTTCACGAATACAACCTATAGCGGACAACGGGCGTGGGATTTCTATTTCAGAACTGTCGTTCGCGGTACCGGCGAATTCTGTCTACCGTTAAAAGAGAAATTGGGGCTGTTCAAAAGAATTGGTATTTATCCCGTACGACACGCCCGGCCACCAAGCCGATTTGCACGAAGACATCGCCGAGCCGTCGCTCCCTTCTCGTGGCTGAAGACATCGCTCGCGCAAACGTCAAGCACGACGTGTCTACTTCGAGTTGAATATGCGTGCGTACGATTTCTTTACTAGGTGCGAATGTCCCCAAAGCGTGGTGCTTCCCGAGTTCCACCCGGGAGTGCTTTTGCTAGAGAAAAATCCACAGCAAACTTTCCAACTTACAGTTTACCGGCTGAATTATTACTAAGGAAAGAGATGCCCCAGTAGCTCAGTGGGAAAGACGGCCAGTTCGCACGCGGTAGGACCGGGCTCGATCCCCCGTGAAACCTTTTTTTTTTTTTTTTTTCAAACATTTTCCGATATTTACATATTTTTTTCTTTTTTTACAATCATCACTGAAGAAACAAACAAAAAAAATAACAAACAAATGCTGTGGACGATACTTCGCTGAATTGAATGGTATGGGATTTCCGTTTTGACACCTGCGAACTCAATGTAATCACTTTCCACAAAATGCAAGGAGCATATGAATCAGGTAGCGTCCGCTTTCCGAGGTGCCCGTATATGTTCTACAGGAATTGCAGCCAGCCATTGGTCCCGATCCCGTTGATCTTTCGGAAACTGTGTCGCACAATGCCACTTTTTTTCGGATGCAGGACATGTGAGCCAGCTCTTCACGCAACATCTTGGGTGTATTCTTTTCGGAGCCGATCATGGAAATTCACCACGGGCACTCACTACTCATCTCAAACTCCTCAATGTACAAAACAACTCATCTTGGAGTACAGAACAAAGAGCGGAACAAACATAACTGCAAAAGAATCGCACGGCGAGCAGTTCCCGCACGCCGCATGTCGTGTCAACTGCTACCGGAGAGGAGAAAAAAAAAAAACGCACGGTCGGGTGTAGCCACGTGACTTCCGCCACTCACTCTCTTCTCTCCACTACTCCGACCTCCGTCGGGTTTCAGTTTCGTTTTCGAGCAGTTGCGTCTTTTGGCTTTATTCAAAAAATACGCTACTCTGTTGCAAAATATTAATTGGGTAGTCCTCCGACACCATAATGAAGCGCCTGGCAAAAAATAAAAAAAAATTTTGGGGGGGTGTCAGTGTTTCTTTAAAGAGGGATTTTTGTAGTAGTGTATGATTTAAAGAAGGCCAGGAATGTCGATGAACAAGTTTAGAAAGCGCCATATCTGCAGCGACGTGGGGACAGCAACACCTGACGTCGCGCAACCACGGTGACTGTGGTCGCGCGAGCGTTTCAGCTCACAAAGTAACTCTCGCCGCCCAAAAACGCGGTTTTGTTTTACAGCATGACGGCATGGCTGGAGCGTCGGGGCGTCCGCACCATACCTCGGCAAACCTCACTCATGAGGGCCCTCACTCACCCTCACTCACCCTCATCCTCACAGGTGATGTGAGGGTGAGTGAGTTTCTGAACCAGGAAAATTCATGAGTGTGAGGGTGAGTGAGGGTGAGTGAGGGCCGTGAGGGCCGCGAGGGTGAGTGAGGGCCGTGAGGGCCGTGAGGGCGGTGAGGGCCGTGAGGGCCGTGAGGGTCGTGAGGGCGGTGAGGGCTGTGAGGGCCGTGAGGGCCATGAGGGCGGTGAGGGGTATGAGGGCCATGAGTTCGTGAGGGGCGTGAGGGCGGTGAGTGGCGTGAGGGCCATGAGCGCGTGAGTGGTGTGAGGGTGGTGAGTGCGTGAGGGGTGTGAGGGCCATGAGTGCGTGAGAGCAGTGAGTGGCATGAGAGCCGTGAGGGCCGTGAGGGCGGCGAGTGCTTGAGGTGGTGTGAGGGCCATGAGTGTGAGAGGGCGGTGAGTGTGTGAGGCCCCCTTCAGATCGAGCATCTTTCTCAGCAATTTTGGTGTTAATGACGGGTTGTTCTCTAGCTTTCCCTAGATCGACACAATTGCTGAGATCGGGTACGGCTCGAAATAAGCAAGCAACTCGGAGCAATTCGAATACGTTTGAAGCGGCTGCATCCAATCAGGGACGCAAAATTTTCACGTGATACCTCGTGCCGGTGATGATGACACCGAAAGACTTGGTTCTGGTTTGAAATCGATCGGTTTTTGGAAATAAACTGTTTCAGAAAGGTGCATTAGTATTGTTAATGGGCGGTGAGTGGCGTGAGGGCGGTGACGCCGGTGAGTGGCGTGAGGGCGGTGAGTGGCGTGAGGGCCGTGAGGGCGGTGAGGGCCGTGAGGGCGGTGAGGGCCGTGAGGGCCGTGAGGGCCGTGAGGGCCGTGAGGGCTATGAGTGCGTGAGGGCCGTGAGGGCGGTGAGTGGCGTGAGGGCGGTGAGTTTCGTGAGGGCCATGAGTGAGTGAGGGGCGTGAGGGCGGTGAGGGCCGTGAGGGCCGTGAGGTTCAGTGAGGGTGAGTGAAGGGCTGAAGGTGAGTGTGACTGTGAGGGTGAGGGTGAGTGAGGGGCTCAAGGTGAGTGTAGCTGTGAGGGTGAGTGAGGGGCTTAGGTGAGTGTGGCTGTGAGGGTGAGGGTGAGTGAGGGCGACCTAAAATGCCGACCTCTGGTCCGCACACGCCCGCGTCTGTCGTTGAAAAAATTTTAAAAAAGACGCGAGACGAGATTTTTGAGACGACGAGGGACGAGGGCACGAGCAACGTTGGGCACGAAGGCGCGAAACGCGAGAGGGCGGCAAAGGGGTTAGGACGGCCGCAAAAAACATGCAAGACCAAATGGACGATTGATGCAGGGTACTTTGTGTTGGGCGGCCGCTTGCGCCACCTAGCTGACGCATGCACAATGACGGTTCTCAGCTTAGTTTTGGTTTCGAAAGGCAACCGAGATTGCTTCTTTGGCACAGGCTTGGCGCAGATTACCTTCATTTTTGAAAAATGTAGAAGGATGTAGCAGGGTTAGCCCCTTGGTGCAGTTTGGCGCAATTGGTGCAGCAATCACATCACTGACCACTGTCTGTCATGTGCAGTGGGGGATATTTTGCACCCGTCGATGAACCATCTTCATACACTAGCGCAGCGTGAACAAAAACTAGACTCACTTTCGCTCGCCCTTGACCAGCTGGACGTAGTCGTGGGACCGTGCGTAGTAGCCGTCAGTGGAGAGGGCTCCCCAGAAGTTGGACCAGAGGTTCTTGTGCCTCGACAGCAGTGGAGCCACCACGGTTCTAGGAGAGGACAGCGGTCATCGAGAAGAATTGATAATTTAGCCCTTTCGGCATCGTAAAGGCTGGTTCCCACACTTGCATCCGACAGCCCAACTGCGTCACGGCCGCTTGTTACTACTCACGACGAGATTCCACAGTGTGGTTGTCTGTCGGGTGACCCTGCAACACTTTCCATCCGCGTATCGGATCGGCTGCTGGGAGCCAAGACCTCAGGACGATGTCGCAGACCAGGAAGCGTAACTACGGCAGTGCTCACACGGGCCCACAAAATTGCAGCACAATACTTGGGCACTTCGTGTCACGGAATAAAAGCGGGCAAGAAAAGCTTCCACCACGTCATTTCTTTTCTGGCCTACCTGACCGCTGCCACAGTCGCACTCCCCAGTCTGCAATGCGGCCCGAGAACCTGGATCCCAGGAATCGAAACCAAAACCACTCCACTAAGTAAAAATAAACTGGTATTTTACGTTGCAATTCGTAGTTGGTGATGTCATATGCAATATACAATGTAAAACAAAAATGCAACCCAAAAATGTGATCCCTCTGCTCATTTTAAAAAGACACTAAAATCTCTAAAAAAAAAAATTTTCTTAAAGGGGCACTAAAGTGCTTTCTGAAATCCTCGTTCTATAATTTAAACTCCGAGCTACGGGCTCCAAGCGTCCTAAAAAAAACAGAAATTACATTCATGAGCGGCCGATTTACATATTAAAAAAGTGATAGAAGACTGCGACACTTACCATTGTTACAGAGCGACAGATGGTACTACCGAACCTTAATGAATATGGTGGAACCGCAGACTGCGCCTGTCAGCCACTTGCGAGTGATCGGTTCCCGCAAAGACGAGCAGCCGACCAGTCCCGCTTGTTCACGCGAGAACCCATCGCCCACGAGTAGCTGACAAGCGCCGTCCGTCGTTCAATCATATTCAGCAAGGTTCGGTAGCGCCACCTATCGTTCTGTGCCAACGTTAGATATCTGGATCCTTGATAAGCTTTTTAATATGCAAATTAGCCATGCATGAACACAATTTCGGGTTTTTTATGATGCTTAGAGCTCGTAGACAGAGTTATGATAATAAAACGAGAATCTCAAAAGGCACTTTAGCGTCCTTTTAAGTGCCTGGATACGGCACGTACATGACAAAATTGTGGAGGCTTGCAGTGACGGCACCACCTTCCCTGCAGGGGTAGACGAGGATGAGGAGTTAGAAGAAGCACTTTCTTCTTCTAGGTTCGTCGCAGCGTTAGGGGTCGGCTTTTTTTGTTTTTCCGGGTCACCAATGTATAGATGTGAATAATGTGATCAAAACTGTGAGCAATGTTTGTGTATCTCAACCCAGCGCTGCTCATGAGGTGTCTACCTTCTTCTCTTGTCTCCCTCCTTGCGGTGGGGGCGACTTGAGTTGTTTAGTCTACCCTCATAAAGGTCTGGCCATCTAACCCGCATCCAAGCCGCCACCCGCCCCCCTTCCCCGCGTGCCAATGTCGGGTATCGTGCCAGCCTCCTACCAACACCTCCTAGAAATAAGGCCGTAGCGCTCTTCTCGTGATGTCGCAAAGGAAGGCCATCGGAGGCGCGCGTCGAAGCGAAGGTAACGTGCGTGGATTGACCGTCGTAATGCGCTTTTAGTCACATACCCGTGTCTTTTTAGCTAAAATGAAAGCTGCACATTGCAACGGGTCTAGAAAATACTTTATTACACGGGCAAAACATTACATCGCTAAATAATCAATGCGAAATGGCACGAGGTATTGTAGAAGACGTCTATAGAAAAATGTGATTGTTTTAAGTAGAAAATATTGAGTCACGCAATTATTGCTGTAGGAATGCATATTTTATACAGAAATATTTTGACAAAATGGCGAGACATGCAGTGATTCGACACAGCAATACAGATCAGTTAAAAATCAGGTAGATGTAGCCAACGCGGACACGGCTCGACAAGTGTCACTTACGATCATGTAAGCGATGTTATCACGTGCAGTCACTGAATTAAAATTAATGTAATTTCGATCGAATGACAATATGAAGCCGACAAATCAGCTTGCGACGCCCATATAATACCTCAAAACAGCGAGCTGATTAATCCCGTATTTAATCAAAATATATTAATATTTCCGTGTGGCAGGGGTACTAAACTTCCTATTTACAGTCAACTAATTTACTTCTCCCTATGGGCTTGAGCTGCCTAAGAACAAAATATAACATATTTTGTATACAATAATACTATTACCTTAATACAAATAAGATTCTAGTATAAACGCAGTAAAGGCAACAAAATAATATTAGTATAAATCAGGGCGTCGAACCGGAACCGAACCGAACCGAAAACCGGAACTGAACCGGTATTTTTCCGGAACTGAACCCGAACCCGAACCGTTATATTGTTATCGCGATGAACCCGAACTGGAACTGAACCGGAAAAAAATAACGGTTACCGGCTCATGTCAAAACGGTTCGGCCACGCGCTGTTGACAATGGATGTGCTATCAATGCCATTTGTTTTTTAAGTGCCGTCAACTGACACACACCTCGCTTACATATTTTTCTTCTCCACTCAGTCTTAGGAATATAAACGCTGCGTCCATGAATCTCGACAAACGCTGCATCCATGAATCTTGGCATAAGAACCAGTATTGCGCTGGTCGCGGCTTGCACGGAAAAAAAAGAATTAAAAGGCTGTGCAAAAAAAAAAAATCTCGTCACGGGATTTCATTTTCTTACAATCTGGTAAATCCTATATGCTGCTGTGTGCTCATTTCATAACACGTTTCTAGAACGCGCGAGTTCTTGAAGCTTGCTTCCATCGGAATGAGAAAAGAAAAGGCTGTGGAGTTTGATAATAATGCATCCGGTTTCGTATAGGCACTTAGAAGCTAACATATTTGTGAGACAGCGAACTCTTCTATTTTAATATTTATTCTATTACGTCCTTCTGGCGTTGCGTTCGGTGAAGTGTTTTTCATATTCCGTATCTTGTTTAATGAAAACTTCTTTAAGGGTCTAATTTGAGTTACCGAAGGCTAGTTCAAATAAAGAAAGCTGTATTTTCTCCCCACTGTTTCTTCAATTGCTTACACGCCGAGGTGGCGGGATAGTTAGCGAGTTCTACTTGTAAGTGGGTTTGTAAGTAGGTCGCGGATTTTACAGCTACTGTGTCGGACCCAATTAGATGAAGTCCGAATGCGTAAACGTCGGTGAGGTAATCTTTGTGTGCACATAAAGAAACCATTCCTGGTAGAAATCCCTGAGCCTTACACTACGATGTATCCCGTTTCGTATGTGCTGATTTCAGATGTTTTATTTGTAATTTATTTTGATGTTGCAATTTGTCATTTATAATTTCCGAACCGGTTCGCGAACCGGTTCAGCGCCCCGAACTGGTTCGCGAACCGGTTCGCGGATCGAATTAATCGAACCGGAACTGAACCGGAACAAAATTAATTTACCTGAACCTGAACCGTAACCGAACCCGTATTTTTTTCGGTTCGACACACTGGTATAAATAAACACATAAGCACAAACAACGCACTTTCAATAATCACACAAACTTGTTATCTACCTTCCAGTAAAAACTAGAATATTACCAAGCATATTTAAAAATGTCGACGCAATAGCAAACGAATAACGACGAAGAATAAAATTCCATTCTATCACGAGATTTAAAAAAAAAAAAAAAGATTGACTGCAGCACTTTACTTGCGTCTTACACGACCAAGAAAGCCCGTAAATAAGTTGTTCCTCACCTGTCGATCGTATCCATACGTCCTACACGATCCATCACGAAAACATTGAACTCAAACTTCTAGAAGTCTCTCTCTTTCGAAAGAGAGGTCATCGGCCAGTGCCATCGTTGACTAGTTGCCACACACGTCACTCAAACCGTAGCAGGACTTGTTTCGCAAATCCACGTAAATGCCATAGTATCAAGTGAACACAAAAGAGGAAAAAAAAAACCACCCGAGACTGCGGTGATGACAAAAAAACGACGGGTAGGAGGATCAAAAGAACCACACAAAACACATGAGAGCAGCACCAGCAGTGTGGGACGAGAGGCTTAACACTGTCGACCCATCTCTTGCTCGTGTGCGCTCCCTCCCTGCTGCGATGACTGGATTTTTTTTTTTCCGGTTTCTTACCCTTCTGAAATGTCTCAGCATTCCTTTGCAGACAGTAAGCAGCTAACAAACAACGTAAATTTACCAGAATTGGAGCTCGTACGAGGGAAGAAGATGTCGCATCAGAAATTCAGAGCCGGTTCATTAGAAAAGTTTGGGGAGCAGCGGGACTGCATGTAGTCCCGCGGTTACGGGGATAATTATAAATATAAATTTGGTACTTTCAACCTTGGTAAAGCGTTGTATATTACGTTTATATTATATATATAATAAATTGTACAAGACTGCACTTTTAGAACTTGTATTAATGTCAGATAAACGCGCACAAACATTACCGCGCCGCTCGAGAAAAAACATTTTTTTCACGTCGACATCTGTCGACAGCAGAAATTTTCTCACGTAGTTGCGCCATGGCCTTCCTTCCTCCGCCATTGTGACGTGCCCACTCGGAGCGCTACGGCCTTATTTCTTGGAGGTGTTGGTCCTACCCTCTGTCCAGTGGCATGCTTCTACATTGAGTTAAGGAGCCTAGAGACCACATAAATACTGCACTGAAAATTTTGTTTTTCGAGAGGTTTGTTTTGTGACACAATTGTGCAATCAGGGCACTTTTTTTGGGGGCAGAAGGGGGGGCGGGGGGTACTTTCTTTTGTGGATTTTTGCTCATATCCCCTAAAGGGTTTTTCCAGCCTAAAACGAGGTTGTCAGTTTTATATAAATACCTTGTGGTAGGCACAGGGAATTCCTTGTGAAAGTGTCCACAAGATTTTAGCTCGCGATTTGAAAAATAAAGCGTATAAAATGCCTCTGGAAATTCCCGTATCAACTCACTCGATAAATCAGCCAAGACATAACAAGATTGACATGCTGTCTCCTTAGGGCTCCCCTTTCTCCGCCCTCCAGGTCCTGCCCGTTGTCACTGCATCGGTCGCATCGCTCGATGGATCTCGAGTTAATATTAGCACCAACAGTGCATTACAAACAAGGACAAAAAGAGGACACATAGAAGGACAAACACAGTGGTGACTTAGAACTTTCGTCTCTTCTTCAACTAATTTATAAGAAGCAGGACCATGGCTCCAAATAAAACGAAAAAACACCTTGGAAATCTGCACTCATCAGATTGACTACTTCGACAGATAGTATAATTCTTTGGCGGATAAAGAAACGGAAGGGGTTCCGGTACACTTGTCATGAAGTCACGCTATCTGCTCTGCCTCAATAATTTCTCTAATTAGAGGGTCACCACTCCACGCCAACACTGTGCATTTGTGAACTGGGGATCACGACCACAGTCTCAGCAGTGAATTCCTAGACGGCCTGAGACAGTCTCATTCGTGTTGAGGCGGTTCTCTCGCAGCCGACCGTTGAGACATTCGCCAGTTTGTCCGACATACATTTCAGGTATCTCACGAGAGCGGCTCAATGTCGATAAGGGGGGGAACCGAAAAAGGTGTGACGTCACAGTCACTGGCTGCAGTATCTTGTTACGTCACAGGTTTCATCGAGCGATAATATGAAAATATGTGTATCAAAATCTGAGCTCCTCGAATAAATTTCTCTATAAAATCTTAGCTATATTGTTCTGATAATTTAGCGGCGTAATTGAAGGTATCTGAACTTGCCCGAGGCATTTAGACCTACAATAATGTTTTTTAGGCATGGGGAGGCCCTTTAAGGGTATGAGGGGTTGGCCACAATGACTGCTTGGCTAACATGCAAACAGACAGGATGGTTTGAAGCCGTGCTCCACTTACCTGTTCATCTCAATGAGCGCCCTCAGCGTGTCCTCGTTGTCCAGGTGCGCATCGGAATCAACAGAGAAGTAGTAGTCGCACTTTATCTTCATGCATTCCTCCCTTGTAGAGATAAAAGAAAACAACTCTCGATTATACGTCAGAAAGTCAGAGTCAAATTTTTTGTACAAAGGTTTAGGCAGCGAAAGGTTAGTTTTCCCCAAAATGACAGAATCGTGAAGTCATTTCTTGCCGGCACTTTCGTCTACAATTCCAAAGGTATTCGCAGACAATGTGAGCCGAGACACCCAACCTGGCCTTTTGCTTCATCTATGGTTCCCACAAGCTCCTTTATCTCTCAGTTCGTCGAATTGTCCGAAGTAGAGGACCTTGACTTCGCACTCCATTCCTAGTTTGGACCATGGCTCGCTCAAAAACGGGCAGGCACGCCAAACAAGCACTAAGGACTGTTTCAGCTCATACTATCCGCAATAGTACGGAGTGGCAGAATGTATAGGTCTAATTGCCCAAGCATGCAAGTCTGTGATCCCAAAAGCACGATCCGCATTAAAGGCCCCAAGTACCGGTCCTTCCGCACCATTCAAATTTTCTCCTCTACGACAGCGACCAAAGGCCAATTCACACGTTTGTGTTTGACTGCAACCGCTTACGACAAGAAAGCACGCCGGCACCAAATATTGTGCAACCATGAAACACTTCCAATCGCCGTATACTTGCCAATTTTTTTATCCCTAGTAATCCTTTCAGCGTGGTACAGGAAAACTCCCGACAATGTCACAAGCGACCTTTTTCTCATAGACTGTGCACTGCAGACTTGGCCTCGCAGACACTGCAAAACCTTCTGTCTGGTTAGGCAAAGATCAGAAGTGCCTCAAAGCTACCCGATGGTAGATGGCGCTGGTGCACGAGCGTGTTTTCTCGTCGTAAGCTGTTACAAGCAGTACATATTAAGGCACTCGATCACAATCAAAACAAAAGTGTAAACTGGCCTTTAAAGTGCCATATTTTGAGGTAGCAATTAAGACCTTTGGTTGGACTATAAACAATGATAGAATAGATGCACCTTTTTGTGATGCGACAATACATACAACGAAAATCTAATTCAATAAGACCGTAGTTTACCAAAAAGGATATGGTGGGACAAATTAGTTTGGACGAAGTGTCCCGTAAGTAGTTTGTACTTTGAATAGGCTTCTCACCAGGTTACATCATTTGATGTACAGTTCAGAACGGTGATTTAGTGTGCATAAAATTTAGGACTTCAATAGCCGCTACAGAGACAGCTCCTCGAACTGAAAAACAGCGAGTGTGCAGGCGAGCTGGCAATAATTAATCATAATGTAACACCCGAAACTGTGGTGCAGAAAAATTAAGAAACAACCAAGTCGAAAGAAAAGACAACAGAGGAGAATGTCTCAAACGAGCTGCGTTTGAGATGTTCTTCTCTGTTGTCTTTTACTTCGACTTGAAAGTTCCTTATCTTTTCCGCACCACAGTCTTGGGTGCTACATTATGATTCCTTAAACTTGTTTTTCACTTCACTCAGCTATCTGTGCAGTGGAGGTACTTCAATTGTGTCTGTATTCATGCAAAAAAGGAAGGAAAGTATAATAAGCAAAATTAAAGCAGAATTAATGCCTCAATTTGCACGCCACTAAACTCCATTAGCAATGGTGTTACTGTGACAGGTTATCCTTTATAACAGTAACAAATTTAACACTCATGCAAAAAGAGTAGAACAACTGTAAAGTATATGTATTTACTCGCAAAATGAACCCGCTCGCATAATGAACCCACCCCCCAATTTTGTCCTTGAGGAAATACTTTTTTTTTTGTGTGTGTGTGTGGGGGGAGCACCCCAATTCAAAAGTTGGTGTGCAATATCTGTTCACTTCATTTTGGTACGATCGCCGGTGCCATAGACGATCACAATAACGTAAAATCACACCGTTATACTATATCAAGAAACGATGCCAAAAAGTCTAAGAACCATGCTAAACAGTCTCCTGCAACGCAAGCGCTAACAACTCAAGTCACAGTTTAAAAATCGCGCTTTTTTGTGGTGGAGCCCATCTATCGATTGCAACGGAAAGCTCCTTGCTTATAGACCATTCCATTTAGCGCTCTCTGGGCGGCACCATTTTGTTCGATCGCAGCGCCCTCTCCACACATCCGGGAAGTTCAGCGGGTTCGGAGGGGTAAAACGAGAGAGAGGGCACGCACCCGACTCCGCTAGCAGACGACAAACCGGGAGGTTGCTGTTCTACATCTTTGGGCTGTATCGGCGGGCAGTATGGAACATCAAACTCTCGCTCGTGGCTGCCGTTGTGAAGTGGTTCACATTCTTAGAATAGTTATGGCTACTCCAAAACCAGCCTATAGCTCTCAGTTTTTCTATTTCGCTAAATGATCCACTAGCATATCCTTATTCCGTTAATTAAATAGCAGTTGAGTCAGCCGGCAGTACTACCCTCAACTACTGCGTGTATTGCGGCAGGAGAGCACGTTTTATTTATTATTTCTGACTTCCACTCATGGTCGCTAAAGGCCTATACCAGTACGAACTTTGTATAGTAAAAAAGGTACAGAAACTGGATTTACTTTTCGCCAAAGAAACCGGCCAATCTGACACAGTTTACCCTATTTTTTTTTTATTTGCACGCACGTAACAGCGCAATTGGACCCTGTGAGTCTTTTTATCTAGCATAGTTACACAACAACTGGCATACCAAAGTCTGCGCATCTGGGCTTGAAAGTTCCAAAATGACGCGATTTTAAACAGAGTTTGCACGCCCGCCGGACGCTAGCTACAGCTCACTCGGCGGAGCAGACGACGTGCGGGGTGAGAGGGGAAGTGCATTTTTTTCTCTTTTACACTCTCTGCTATGACCCTAATGGAACGGACTATAGCGCCATGCAAGCGCGGCGGTATTTAAAGAAAGTAACAAACAACGTCAAATTGCCGCCATTTCATCGCTGCTTCTGTTTTTGTGTGGCTTGTGTTTTGCGGAGAACTTGGACACCTGCTGCGAAAGCTACAATGGGCCGGTACGCTAGCTATATGGCCGGTTTTAAGCTCGAAGTCGTTGAGCATGCATTGGAGCATGGGAACCACACGACTGGATGGCATTTCAGCGCCGATCTGGTGCGTGTACGCTACTACTGGCGAAAACAAGACGAAGAGCTTCGCGCTACAAAAAAGGATCGCCGCGCATTTCGAGGGCCAAAACAAGGCAAGTTTCCTCTTGTGGAGAACAAAGTTCTGGATTAATGTGAAAAGGCTTTACAGTGAAGGCTGTGCAGTGTCCCACGAGCTGATTCAAAACCACGCGGCAAGCGACGTCAGTGAAGAGAGTGACAGTAGTTGCGAGTAGGAGCACCAACAAATGGCCGGCTAGCGACATGAATAAAAAAAATGGTTACATATATGTTGTGTGTGCGCTATTACTTTTTTTAAAAGGTAAGGTTTTATTTAATAGCGAGTTTCCTATCTACATCGTGATATGAAATTTCAATTCTTATAAATCTGTCGCAACTTTTTTTTTTTTCCCCTCATCCCGCGTAATGAACCCTCCCCCCAAATTGACGTTAACTTTTCTGAAAAAAAAAAAGGTGGGTTCATTACGCGAGTAAATACGGTAATACCACTTACAGTGCCAAATTGCGGGCATGCCATTCCTTCCTGCCGTCTTCATTTCGCATGTGCTTCACGCTTCTGTATGACTGGCCGTACTGTTCCACAAACTTGTCCACTTCCTCTTCGTGGAACTCCACCTATAAAAGATATCATTTAACTCTTAAATGAATGTTGAAGCATAAACAAGCTGCTGTGTGAACTTGAATTAACTGCGATTAAACATGCTAACTTGTCAAGGCACACAGAGAGCATTGGTGCACAGACTGAAACAAATTTTCATCTGTCAGACATTTCCCAAGGAAATAAATGTGTACACTAAGTGAAGACCAATTGATTCAACTTCTGATGTTCCAAAAAACAGCATATAATAAAATAATTATTCTGAGTGTAGTAATGAAGATGCTGTCCACTAAGAGTAAAACATTATGAGTGCCACAAATAATTGTGTGTGTAGAAATGAAAATAGCTGTCCCGTTTGATTAAATCTATATGTTTCAAGTGGCACGTGCTACAAAAGTCCCCCATCAGGAGCACCAGTTCTCAAAACGGTTTCCATTTCAATAGTTAGCACTTCTTTCTACTGACTCTCGTAAAAAAAAGGCTTGAGGTAAAACTTAAGCACTTTTTATGAGTTGTGAATGCGAAAGCACGCACGCCGCTCTTCGCTCCCTCTTTAATCTGCGACATACAACGCGCTGACCTTGGGCGTGGAATGGTGGAGCCGCTGCCTCATGGACACGCAGCGCCATCGGGTGAGCGATCATTCAAACTGTTGTGTGCCTTGCGGCGCGAGGAAGGAACAGACAGCAACGTAGTTCCCAGCAGAACGAACCCCTTAGTTTATTCCATGCGCCGTATATATTGCCACGCACCATACAACCGATAAGTGGCGAGCGAACGTGGTGATCACTGATAACACAACAGTGTGATAACACAGTCAGGATGACACCACACAAACGGACGCGCAGCGGCCAATAGGAGCCTCGTCGACGCACGCCAGCCAATGGGATCAAAGTGCAAAATGTGCCGTTGGCTAGCTTTGCACGTGGTTTCATTAAGGTGCCGTTTTGCATGGTTTCAAAGCTGATGACGTCGGCTCGCTCCATGAGACAGTTAATGCTTCCGCATTAATATGCTTTTCAACGTACACTTGCTGACCAATTTTTCATACGCCGATATTTCGGACTTGTTTGATTTTTCGGACCTAAAGGAGGAACCGTGACCTACCCAATAGAAATAGTGCATATTCTTGACCGATGTTTCGGACAGCTTAAGTCCATAAGTTATATTTTTCGGACAGAACTGTCGCGAGGGATCAGAGGGAAGCACCACCGAGGAGCCACCATTTTAGATTGTATGTTGGCTGCACATGGATTGGCTTGGCTTGGCAGTGCTACTTGAGTACGGCTGAGTCCTACCACTAGGTGTGGCTATACGGCTTTTTTTTTTCTCCATCATTGTTACCATTTTGCTTTGTTCATTCATCATTTCAGTCATGGACTTGCGCCACTTGCGCCTCTCATCTCGTTTCAGTGAATCATGTTTTCGGACTATGCCGCTATGCTGGCTTGGACGTCATGGCCCCATGTGTTCTTCTGCCGCTGCAAAGTGTCGCTAAGAAGCGCAGAAAGCACTCAACCATAATGCTAGAAAAAAAAGGCAGCGATTCTCGAGCTAATAGAAAGTGGCCAAATGCAAACAGAGGCGTAACCTGAAGCAAGGCACTATTTACAGCAAATTTGGATTTCACAAAATAAGGTAGCAGGAGTGTTCAACGAGGTGCCGCAAACCCTAAAACACCACTCATAAAGTGATATCTCGAACAAATGGCCCTATTTTTGTAAAATAAGGATGCGATTGAGTTAGAATCGCAACGTCGCATTTCCTGCAGAATTGTTGAGGAGGAGGCGAAACGGCCTTTCATCCATCTCTTCGCGTTCTTGCGGAGTCAAAGCGAATATAGGACGAAAGAAGAATCACAATGTCACGGGCTTTTCTGGCCTTGTTCAAGCGCGTACTTCTTTCACAAAAATACGACCGTCCGTCGGAAATATCGCTTTATGAGTGATGCTATCGGGTTTGTAGTCCTCGCCTAGAGCTTCCACGTTGTTTTCTGAAATCAAAATTTTGGTTCAGCATCCCTTTAAGCCCGCTCGTAATAAAGGCAAGTTTTTAATCTGCTGATTTTTTCGACTGCTTTATTATTCGGACATTTTTTAGGCCCCTGTGAAGTCCGAAAAATCAGTCGGCGATTGTAATTCTAGAAATAAACTTGCAACACAGTATAGCATGGTGTGAGGAACACTCCTGCTCCAGCAACCGTGTACGCAGACTGCCCCTCTTTAAAACGAGACACAGCTTCGTCAGTGAAAATGTCACATGCTTGTGCTGTCGCTCACGTAATAGGTCAAACCACTTCTGCAACCAAATCTCATAGCCTGCCACAGAAAGACTGAGATAAACTAGCATGGCTTTGCTAGTCACTGGCAGAATGAGAACAACAGTGTGTGTTTTTCAAATGTCCGGCCTCCAGCAGGTGCTGTGCGCTTTCCACAGTGCTTTGGCCGCACGTGCGCACTCAACTTGCACAAGACATTGAAGCGGTGTCGAAGGTAGAAAGCTTGCGCTGGAGGCAAGACAACTGAAGCTCCTCCCTGCCGTTCTCCCTTTGATTACCATGAACTAAAGTCAATGACAAAGTCAAGCTAGAATAAAGTTTAATAATTTGGAGAGCAAGTCGTCTGCTTCTTGCGAAGGGCTGGGGTTGCGGCGACGTCAAAAAGACGCCGAGTTCTGATTGGCGTTGATTGGAAGGATAGTGGGTAGACCTCAATGCCAGGTGACTCGAGGTCTACCCACTATTTTTTTTCAATCAGCCAATAAGAGCTCGGCATTCAGACCTTATCGCAACCCCTGTGCAAGAAGCAGACGACTTGCTCTCCGCATACATGGGGCATGTGTTTATTATCCGGCTGGGTAGTCACCTGGCAGCTGGTGCAATTTGTCATTACCTTGCTCTCTGATGTGCCCGTTTGCAATGCTCAAGGAATAAGTCACTTTCTGAGGTATGATTGGGCTCAGTCATCCATAAAGTATGGACAATTTATTACCCAGTCACAACACCTCAGTGTAATGCCAGACCTCAAGTGGAGGGAGTTGAGATCTTTTAAGTTCACAGAGCCGCCATGCGATTAAGAGGAGGAAAGTTCCTGCCACGGACCACGGAATGCACAGCGTGGACTTATACTGCGAGCAGTTGTGCACAATACTTGTGGGACGAAACAAACTTGCAATCTAAATAAATAAGGGAAATGATAATCATGAAGCTTATGATAGAGTTGATAGCATGGTGCACTTTTCAATATGTTTACCGCCGTGTATTACCCTTGCTTATCTAATCTGACTGGTCGACCGTTAAATTGCAGGGTCCCCTCAATAAGTAAGCTTTAAAACATAGCATTTTATGGCTGTGTCAAAAAACTTCAATGACCCCATTCAAAATTTAATAAGGCAATAAGGGACACACAAATGATGCAGCTCTTAGAATGAACCTGAACTGTCACTAACCTGTCAAACCCGAGGTGACCCAAATTGACCTTGTGCTTGTTCTATGGCACGACTATGCTTTGCTTTAGACCTGATTGTTATTTATTTTTTCAGCACCGTCTATGGTGCTTTCTACAGTCATGTAAGGAATGCCAGTTGTAAGTCCTTGACATTTTTTTTTTTTGTTTTTCTTGACTGATTAACCGAACAGTCTTACCTGAATCACTTAAATGGGTAACAAGAATGCTTAAACGAAGAGAATATGTCTGCATCTTTTTAGCATTGATGCATTTAGTTTGCTAAGGTGAACCTTAATTAAAATGAGCCTCCACAAAACATCCATAGACATGTAGAAAAATAAAAACTCATTTCTTACAGCCAACAGAGACACGGTATAGCTGCCGTGGCTGACTAGAACACTCTCCCAAAATGGAGATATAGAAGTTCTACAAGTTGGATAAAAATCAGAATTCAGCTTACAGCGTTATGCACAAACAAGTCAATCCTCTCTCTTGGATAGTTGAGATTGTAGACCTTAGACAAAGCTTCCCACAAAAATGGAGTGGGGTGCTCTATGAAAATCCCAATCAGAACCCTTGGAAGCTCTGATGGCTGAAACGAAAACAAGAGGTAAGGATGCAGATGATGCGTAAAGAGTGATGGGAAGAAGGTTGTCTGCACTGTATACATAGAGGACAGTAAATGTCCTTTGAAACATGCCGTATTGCAAAACATTATGTACATCTAACCTCATACCGCTTCCTTCCTATGAAGGATTAGGGGAAGACAGAAAGTCAGAAACAGTGGATGTTGATGTCACTCAGGGCCACACCCTATTCTAACAGTAGTTCTCAGACATGTAATGAAATAAGGTGCCCAAGAATAATATCAGAACTTCATTTAGAAATATAAGCTCTGGTTCTTTCTAGAACTTGGTAAAGATTATTTAAGTTTGCATTATCAATCCCATCTGTAAAGTTGTCATGCATGCACCTGACCAGAGACTAAACGGCAAATATCAAAATCATTCCTACCTCCTTGTCGGCAAGGCTAAAGGCATCGTAGCACACACGGCAGCCTGCTAGGCTGTTCCACGACTTAGCAAGATAATTTCCAAAGCTGTTCAGCACAACCTGCCAAGAGAAAAAATTTACAACAAATGCAATGAGCCATAAGAAAAAAAGCGTCCACTTTCTGTACAATTTGCTCTGAATGAACACACTAAAGTAGTTTAGTTCAAAGGTATTTTGAACGAAACATGCTTTATGAAAGAAAGCCTTAATTACAGGGCATTTAGTATATAGAAAAAAGCCAATAAACTAACCCAAAACTTAAAAAGCTAACAAAATAGGCCCACTTTACAAGAACTATGCTTTCCAAATTGTGCAAAATGCTGAAATTATCATTTTCATAGCTGACACGCTCAGGCAGGAAGTTCCACCAAGAAATGACAGGAGAAAGCACTGAATTTTTAAATATTTTAACTCTGGAGAAGAGAAGCTTCAGGGAGATGATCAAGGTCAGGGTCGGGCAAACACAAGCCCGCTGGCTGAACCTGGGCCCACAAGGCATCTGCTGTGGCCCACTGCCTCTTTAAAACAAAAAGCTCGATGTACACCTAAGCACTTCTTAGGAGTTGTTGATGCAAAAGCATGCATGCTGTTCCTCCGCTCCCTCATTTCGTCTGCGGCATACTTGAGTCAACAATCGAGCGTACTCACTTTCCTCGCTGCGCTGACCTTGGGCGTGGAGCGGTGGAGCCGCTGCCTCGCGGACATGCAGCGCTATTGGTGGCACCAATTGAAACTGATGCGCGGCAGCTTCCTATCACCGCCGTTTTGCGTGGCTTTCAGCGTGGTTTTAAAGCTGGAATGCCTCAGATCACGGCTTCGGGAATTTATCTGCCGTTTGGTGCGGCTGATGAGGTCTGCTCGCTCCATGGGACAGTTAAATGCTTTCGCATTAAAAGTATACAGGGTATTCGCGCAACTTCCAGCTTCCATGGGAAGGAGAGAGAAAAACTTCTGGGTCTCCTCTGTTTACCTTCTGTTTGAATGGGTGTGCGACAAATCTTGGTACACTAGCGAGCAATTGTGTGAAAGCTACACCTAGGAATGCCCCAGTGTTGTCTTTATGAGTGGCCGATGTGCACAGGCACGAACGAAATGTCACGAATGAAGTTCTTTCAATTTTCTCGAGACGAGGGATGCCACCGACGCAGCCGGGCTTGGGTGATCGCAGGGCGATGGCATTAGCAGATGGTGCCCACCTGATTCGGTGTGCTGCCCACAGATGGCACAACGTGAGAAACGTGAGAAATGTAGGTTCTCTACGCAAGGATGCGGTGCCTTGACTGGCCATCTCCATACAACGATAGGTGCCAACCGCGTCATTATGGCGCATTGAAATGCAAGGTGACACAGAGCTCTAGGAAAGAAACCTTGAATACTAAAGGAAGCAAGTCAAAGCATTGGGAAACTGCGCATTACAGAGACTCACATCGTGTTGAAGGAAGTGTAATTAAAACTTTCGGAAGATTGTCTGCTAGAACCAAGACCCGGCATGGCGACCCCTGCGGGGAAGCTCGGCGGGTGTCTTAGGTGCTTGGGGGAGGTAGGTGCCCATCGCCCATGCCTAGCTGCTCACGAAGTAGTTGAAAGCATTTAAGGATTTGTAGGTTTCAAATCATTCTCAAGTACTATATGGGCCACAGCCATATATGGGGAGAGTTTGGCCAGTCTATGGTCTTGCCGCCGTAACGCCCCACTCCCGAGTGAGCCAATCAGCCCGCGGCACAGAGCGAGAGGCGTGAGCGCACGTGTGTAAACTCCTGGCTGCTCCCAGCTGAGCGGAGAGGGGCACCATTTTCATTCATTCGCCCGGCGAAATGCATGGAATCTACATCTAAATTTCGATTCTTTCCTTTTATTTGGCAGGCTCTGGCAAGAAAATGATATAGTGTTATTTCTCGATGGCTTAAAAAGCTAACAAATAAAGTTTCTCCATGTTTAAACGTAAACTTTGATTCAGGCGAAAAAGAAATAAGCCAGTAGCAGACGACGCATAGCCTTAAAGGGCAACTCCATTCCATTTTTACAATTTTTGGGTTACGATCTCTTTAGTCGAAGCCGGCGACCCTGAATCACGAGATACAATTTGTTTTTCGGTAGTGTGTATAGTTTTGTAGATATCGTGAATTCAAGTATCGTTCCGGCGGCACGGCGAAACCGAAACTACCGGCTGAAGCAGCTTGACAACACTGATACTTCTCGTCCCACGCTTCGCGCCGGCGCACCGACAATGTCGCCTCAGTCAGTCGCACGTGGAGTTTCAAAACAGAAGGTTAGATGCCCATTTTCTTTTTTTACCGCTTCACTTTGTTAATATGCACCAAATAAAGTAAGTTTTAGCGTGTATTTATAAATTTGCCGGCCGAAAAGCGAATCCGACTGCTATAAATATGACGCTGTCGGTGCCGGCGCAGCATGACTGTATTTGTTTCTTGCTCGCAAACCGAAAGAAAACGAAATAATGGGAGATAGATGGATAGCTGTATCCACAAGTGGTCTAAGTTGTTAAAGCCAAGGTGCCTTTACGTGTACGCTAGTTAGATCAGCCGCGACCTGCTGCATCCGGCCGATCGTGCTCGAGCAGCCGGCGGGCGGTACGCGAACAGCGACGGCACCGCATCGTTCTTCAAAGACGCATGTTTCGTGGAAAAACCCACAACAGTTAGCAGCCGCAGATCCTGTGTGTAGGTGTCTGATGTAAAGTGCTGGGAGCAGAGCTTCGCATTGGAGCTAGGAGTAGACTGTCTACCGAAGTCTATCTGGCGAACGGCACCAACCCACACCTTGTGCCTCCTCCGGTCTCTTGGGAAGTGGTGGAACCGCAGCTCCGGGTTGCGCACCGGGTTGTTGGTGCAACCCACAGCACTACAAGTCGTGCTTGACATTGCCCAACGCGAGTCCGGCAAGTCTCTCCGGCTCCACGACGCGGGCGTGAGCGAGCAGCACCGCTTCGCTCTCTTCCGCGCTGTCGCGGAAGCAATGCTGGAGTTAAAGGAACTGCCTGGACGCTAATAAAAATAGGAGAACACAGGATAATGTGGTAAACACATCGTGCCGTCAGCAGAATCGCAGAATGCCACGGGAAACGAAGCGTTCGCGGCGTCCGTACGAGAGCATAGGACTAGACCTACGTCATTGCCCCGCGTTGCTTCACTAGCTCACCCAGTGCCAGCGATGCTTACCCGCTTTCGGGCCGGTAACCGAGCCGGGAGAACATTTTTAATATTGGTTTTAATCGGTAATGCGGTGTCGGTTTGACGTGATATTTTGGGTATGACCGTATTTTGACCTCCTAAAGCAATATCAGTCATATCAATAGGGTCGACTTTTTGAGTGGAGTTGCCCAGTGCTCTGTGCCGACAGCGTTGCGTCAAAATGGCAGCCGTCTCTTCTTTGCTCCCTTCTTTCTCTCTCTCTCGCTCCTTCGGCACTCTCCTCCTTTTCCTTCCCTTTTCTCCTCTCCAGCGCCTTAGTCGCCACATCCACAAGCCAAACTCTCCCAATATACGGCTCTAATATAGGCCAGGCGGCTTGAACACGTAGTTGTGAAGATGAGCCCATGATACCTTTGGCAGCTTTGTCATTTCTTTGAGGAACAGGTGCTCTTTCTTCTTATCCAAGAAATCAGAAAGGCATGCCAACCCAGTATAAATCAATTTCTGAAAATACCGCAATCGGTCCTCTACAGTGAGACTTTTAATGTATGCGCTACTCACTGAAAGTCTGCAAAAACAAGCAAAAACAATGGCCAACCGGAAGCAACATGCTTTCCTCGGAAGTTCGCCCATGTTTGTTTTTGTTTATCGTTATTAAATACCCTAAATACTGCAACCCACTAGCGCATCTACATAGAATAGAACCTCAATAAATCAATCACGGTTTGTTCGGAACCCTGGATAATTCGCAAAAATTTCTATGGTGCCGTAATTTCTCATGAAAATATGACCGGTTAATACGAGCAATCTGCACATGCTGAACCAGTTAATTTGTCGGTTTGGTCTTCCAAGTTAAGTTTTTAGTTGCTAGCTGGCACTAGTTGGCAGCTCAAGTCAGCAGAAAAAACCAACATGGCACAAGTCTTCATTGTTCCGTAGTATTGTTTCCAGTTTGTTGGTCACTTAGCAATCCACTTGGCTGTGTTCCGAATCTTACCCAAATAGATCCGAGTTACTTTGGCGGGCCATGTCATGTGACAACACAGATAGAGCAATGCTGGATGTGATAAGGTTTTCGAACGCCAAGGTACAAGAACCTCACCATGAAGTATGATTAAGTAAATTTTGGAACACGGCTTTTGTTGCCTTGAGCTTGGGCTGGATCACAGGGCTGGCTCGCGTGTGGTCCTCCATCTAGGGGCGTCCAAAGCGTTTGAAGCAGTGCAGACGGAAGATGCCGAAATATAAATATTTACCATTACAACAAAAAGTTTAACTTGTCGAGGAAGAGGAGAAATCAACATGTACTAAAACCGAGTTTACAGAGAGGCACCAGGTGCCCATCTCCATGTTCTGCATTTTCTCAAGAACAAGGCAAAGATCCTCGAGGCATACAGCAAGACACACTCATCAAAGCAACTGCAGATTCGGTTCCCGACATTATTTGGACGTCGAAGCCGTCCCGATTACCCGCCCCGATTACCCAACTCCAGAATGCCCCTGCAGCTTGCAACATCAACAACACGACGTTGCGAGAGAAGGTCAACGATTTAGCATCGCAACTTGGTCACGAATCAACAGATGGTTGTCACGTTTCAAGGAACAGAGTGACGACATTCCCAACGGCGTGTGGTAAGAGCGGCAGCGCAAAGAAGACTGTTGTTGAAGATTTGATAGAGCAAACCTTGGCTCCATTTCTTAACACAAACAGAGTAGATGATACCTATCTGGACGGAGCAACTGTTTTACGAGATGCTTCCGTCAAAAATGCTCGTGATAAAGGACACCGATGTAATGGAAGCAGCCAAAGATGGAAGCAGTCAAAAGACAGAATCACAGTTTTCTTCAGCACAAATATGATGAGCAAACACAAGCTGACGCTCCTTGTTGTAGAAAAAGTGAAAAACACCGCGATGCTTCAAACGTGATCGGCTTCCACCAGCCAATGAACTCATCTACTGACACAACGAGAAGGCCTGGGTCACAGCAGCATCTGTCCGAAGAGTAGTATGTGCGACTCCACGATCATAAGTTTGCGGCAGCAGGACGAAAAGTTGCTTTCATCGCCGATAACTGTCCTGGCCATGGTGACATCCAGAACCTCAAAGCAATCAAGATGGTCTTCCTTCCACCGAACACGACGTCCATCTCGCAGTCAATGGATTGAGGCATTATTTTGCACACACGAAAGATCTAACGTCACCACTTTTTAAAGCAAATGTCGCACCATTACGACAAGGGCACAGGCTATTCCATCGACCTTCTCGGTGCTATGTGCTTGATCGTGTATGCCTGGATACAAGTGAAGGCAGACGCCATCAAATGGTGCTTTAAGCGTGCGGGGTTTTCAAAGGAACAAACATCCGAGGAGCTGGACAGTGTCGCTAGTGCCAATGTTAGTGCCGTCGTCCCTGGAGTTGACAATGAGGGGAGGAGCTTTGCTCCCGCGTCAAGGACAGCGACAATAAGTAGGTAGGTATGAGTTTCGCCGACTACTTACACATTGAAGAGAACAAGCCAACCTGCTACATGAACAGCGAAATCACTAACAGTGCGACGGCCAAGAATGATGACGACGACAAGTCGCCTCAAGCGCCCGCTCCAGGGGAAGTGATAAAGTCGCTGGATGTCGTCCGCAGCTTCGTGGAATATAATGGCGGGGATTAACGAGATGTTTCCGCTAGTTAGCCTTCTTGAAGATATGACATTCGGCGCCAATAATTACCAAACACGGCAGTCTGATTTCGACAACTCCTTCATGTGATCGTCCCTCGGTTTCAACTATCCATTTTGAATAAATGTTTAATTCGAGATTCAGTGCTTTGCTGATAATTTTTGTCACTTTCTTTCTTTTTCAGACAGTTCACAAGTCCGTTTAATTCACATACTTTCCGCCGTCTGACTGACTTTGAGTTAAAGAGGTTCTACTGTAGCTTTACCTTAAATTGTTTCTCATAAACTGATCCCCCGTTATCAGTCCCCAGCTTTTAAATACCAGAACTCCTCACCTTGGAAGGCCCATTACCGTGAATTACCAACGGCACAGTACCAAAGGCTGAATTATGCAAATATGGTTCAGAATCCAACCCAAGCAGCTCAACATCACCTGCAGAAAAAAAGGCCATGAATAGGAAGCGCTGCATTTTCTGCTTATATTTAATGATGAATACATGAAAGGGCATTATAATTGGCTTTTGAATGTCTCTGAGAGTAAATAATCCAGAGGCCCAGATAGATGACCGTTTCAATCTAATTAAGTTAGGAAACTGCAGTAAAACAAACATTATGTGGCTCTGCAATATTATGTTGTTTTTTGTTTTTCATTTTTCTAATTTAATTTTAATAAAATAAATACCTATCTGCACATAATGAACAAACACACTGATAAACAAACATGTTGCACCAAGACCAAAAAATTAAGATAAAAAGGGGTTATCTTTCTTGTTTATGTTCAATATTTTGTTTTCTTCTGTCAGCCACCACCAAACACCAGCACATTATTGGGATGTTATCATCACGAATAAACAATGAAAGCCTTTCTACATATTATTTTTGTATATATATTTTGAATAACAAACCGCACCTAAATCATTAAAAAAAATATAAACACAAGGAAACTAGCAAAAAGACAGCAAGCTTATTACTTTTAGTTTATGGTAGGCAGTTACAAACCGTAAAATACAGGACAAGCACCCACCCAAAAGTTAGAGATAATGAAGAGAAGATGGGAATGAGTGCTCGTTAGGTTTGAGAGCAAAAAAGCAAAAGGGGCAAATGGAGGGTTAGGTCCTTGCTTGGCCCTTCTTTGATCCAACAAAGTCGAACAGGAGCAGTATGGGGTCTGCCAGAACTCCTGGTTTTTAATCAGCCGTGTCACTTTCATCAAGCATGCTTCGTACTGGCGCTCTCGCATCAAGCTTTGCACCAACCCACCAGCACAAAGGTTCACCGCTTTGCACTGGCTTTTAATATGAAGGAACATCTTGATAAATAAGGGGGGGGGGGGCTTAGAAGTTTGCTGGCGTGGGTGGTGGATATAGCTGTTACTTATACTTCAAATGTTTAAAACGTAGGGGGTGAGCACTTGTGGCAACATGAGCACATGCTCAATATTGTACGGCAATTATCCGTATAAGTCACTCTCGGCAGAGATTTTTATATAGCTGTGGCAAATTATCTTCTCCAATCTGTGGTAATCAATGGTGCAGTTGACAAATTCTTGGTCAACAATGCCCTTATGTTGTCAGAGTAATTTAGCTACATGTGAATTTAGCTACTTTTAGCTACAGTGGTTTACAGTGGTGCTATTTTGAATGGTGTAAATAAATGTTTTATATAAACCTTGTGGTAACATGGATGTAGTATAAATACAGGGTGTTAGATTTTAATTTAAACAGATTTATTTCTACAATTTGTGAAAGGTATGCAATGTAGTCTCTGCAGGCGAGTTATACGGCCAGGGGAACATAATGTAAGTGGCTAATCCTCACAATAAGTCAGATAATGAACTAAAATATGTTAATTAACTATTTAATTGGTAAGATAAACATATTGTTCCAATTAAAAATTAGCTGGGCGTTATCGAAAATCAGTCAATTTTAGGAATACTTGATGCACGTGGGAAGTGCAGGGGTGCGTCAAAGTTACCAGGTGTGCAATAGGCACAATGCTAGCGGTGCCGAAAAGCAGATGCTACGATTATCATCTGCGTTTTGTGCCTGCTGCATGAGTAGTAACTTGGGTGCACCCCCGTGCATCAAGTCTTTCTAAAATTGACTGCTTTAGTAGTTTTCGATGACACTCAGAAAAATTCTAATTTGAACCATATGTTTCTTTTGACTACTTAAAAAGTTAATAAACACATTGTAGTTTTTGTCTTATTGTGAGGATTAGCCACCTATATTATGTCTCCCTGTCAGTATAAGTCACCAGCAGAGACCGCATTTCATGAATTTTTTTAAATAAATCTGTTTGAATTAGAATCCCTGTACATTAGATGCATAATTTATTGCTACCTTACATTCAGCGACATCTCAATGGAACATCAGTATTGTCATTGTGGAATGCTGACAAGTATTTATGCTCTGCCGCAAATTATTATTTTTTTCTTTTTACATTACCCTACATAAAGGTTACATCTTCACCCATGTACATGAGCTCTTCTGGCAGTTCTGCCAGAAGCAAACAGTGCTTTCCCCCAAATGTTTCTACCAGAAGCTTGAGATTCTTGTAACAAGATTGCCACTCAGCACATACGTTCTGAATAACAGGTGAAGTTAGTTCAGAAACTCGTACAACACCTGTGCCTTCAAATACTTTTTGGTGTGGCACTCTGCCTAATGCAACCGTAAATCATCCTTACCCACAGCTCCATTAAGGTTCTGGAATATTTCAGCGCGATGGTCAAGTTTGATGCCCCACTTTTTCTGCAAAAGAGTAGAAAAACAAACACTTATTGGCTCCTGAAATGACTACTGGTGACCCACTAGAACTCTAATTGGATGAACCAAGCTGTTAATAAGACTACCTTTGTATTTTAAAGGAGAGAAGGTGCTGTGCACAAAGGAGGTGCTTTCTGCTTAATATCACCACAAAAAACACTGATCAAAAAATATGAGGGTCTGTTGTTTGCTTTTTATATACCTTATGCTTTGGAGCAGGGCCGGCGTTAGGCATGGGCGAGCGGGGCGGGCGCTCCGGGACCCGCGCTTACGACAGGGCCCCGCAAGTGACAGAGGGGCCCCGCGGTCACTCGCCGGTTGAACTTTTTGTAAAATTTCAACATCGCCACTACAGATAACTTTCATTGCTGAATTTTCCAAAGGAAAAAAAAAATAGTTAGCTGACCGACGGGCGCGGGGCCCTTCGCCAATTTGCGGATTGCTCCACCCGGACAGAAAAATTCCTGTGTTACAAAACTAACCTCTCCTCGTGGAGTTTTCCAAAGGAAAAAATAGCTGGCCGACGGGCGCGGGGCCCTTCGCCAATTTGCAGACTGTTCCACCCGGACAGAAAAATGCCTGTGTTGCCACAATGCCACCCGGACTGTTCCACCCGGACAGAAAAATGCCACAGCTATCCCACCGCTGCCACCATGTCGCGGTTGGGCAGTGAACAGACAAGAGACCAGCCTGTGTGAGTGTCAGAACCCATCTGTCGGGCGAGCCCGCGTTTATTCATCTCTCAAACACGCCCCGTCTCCCGTGCGGTGGCGCCCTCTCTCGGCCGCTCGCCTAACCCTCCAACAGTCTTCGTGCCGAACGCAGCCCCGCCAGCCGCAGAACTCGTCCGGTTGTGACTTTTCCTTGTTGTGACTTTATGGCTGGCGTGCGTCGATAGCACCTTTGTAATTGCTCAGTTCTCTGTTCTGTTCATTTATTGCATATATAAAAAACCAAGCCAATCTGCACATAGCACTACTGAATAAATACACACCCGAGATATCCAGCATGATAACGTGCCCGTCTCGTTTTTCTTCATGTTTAGTATAAGCGAAGTTATTTTTAAATTTCAGATTTTGCTTTTTAAACTTTTGTTGACATTTTTTTTTTTTACTTTCTTGCCCTGGGCCTTGCGTTATGTAGCACCGGCCCTGCTTTGGAGGAACCAATTTAGCTGGCAATAAAACTTACATTATCACAACAAATCATTACCATTGAATATGACTGTGAATCAGGTTTAAAATGTTAAAATAACTGTGGGTCATAAAAGAATATCAGAGTTGATATAATAAAGGCCCATGATGACTTGATACATTTGCCTTGAGTATCTAAGAAACATGTCTTTTGAACAAATATGCATTGTAACACTTTAACCAAAATATCTAATGGACCCATAAAACTTTCCACGCAATGGTTCAACAAACATTTCTACAGGACCAACAGAAATTTCTGTAGGTCCAATACAAATGTCCTATAAGACCTATATAACTTTTAATTTGTCCACCAGATATTTATGTTGAACCAATTGTTACTATAGTAAAAATGTGCATTAAACCAATGCCCATTACTGCAGACCAATAGAAATTCCTATTGATTCAATTGAAATCTCTCCCGGAATTTCTGCAAGGAAGACATAATAGGCGTTAAAGGGGTACTCCGGCGATTTCTTCATGGTCCCCGATTTGCTTGAAATTTTGCTAAACTCGCAAAACAACATCACTAAAATAGTATCCCAAATATTATGTTAAAATCATCTTTTTTTCACGAAGTTATTGAATTTACAATCTTGGTCCATCACCGTGTTTTTCAAAATGAAAGTCTCTACTGGCAACAACAAAAAGTGACGTCAGTGGAAGTGCAGCAATTCACTCTGGACTATAGATGGTGTTCCCAACTGATTCGAAGCAGTTTCATGGTGTCAAATGAATGCTTTGGAAGCTCGCTCAGGACCCGCGCTCGAGCGCAGAACAAATGATTGGCATATTCTATTTTTTAGACTGCTCGCTCGACTGGCAAGCCTGCCCCGTCACTGACATCACGGCACTGAAAAGTGTGGGTATATTTGAATGTTGGTTTTTGCATCATTTTCATTTGCCGATTTCGCAATTACTATTATGAATTTCGTGATACTAAATAGCATACCGGAAAGGGTAAAGGGTAAAGTCAGAAAATATAGTTAGTTGAGGTAGCTCAAGAAATCGCCAGAGTACCACTTTAAGTCAACTTGCGCCATAATAAATAAATGTGTTCTTATATATATATCTTTCTAATTGGTTATAGTTTGAACTAGAAATGTATGAACTGGCGGTTTTCTAAAGGGAATTTCAGACCAATTGAAGAAATACCAATTGGTGTGGTTCCGATTGGAACCATTCTAATCAGAACCACAGCAATTGGTATTTTTCCAATTGGGCATTCCAAAACACAGTCGGTTATGATTCCAATTGGAAAAAAACCAATTGGTATATTTCCAATTGTGTGTTCTAGAACACAGTTGGTCATGGTGCCAATTGGAAAAAAGCCAATTGGTAATATTGAACCAATTGGCATTTTTTCCAAGGAGGCGTTCCAAAACACAACCGGTTTTGGCAATTGGTACCAATTGGAAAATCCAATGGGACCCAATGGGTATTTTTAACGGGGATGCATATACATCCGATCCGCATCTGCAGCCCCTGGCATCCGCGTCCGATCCGCAATCCACAAAATCTGATTCATTTTTATTAGAATCTGCCAGTTTAGTGCGAATATCCATGGACAATCCGCAGATATGCAGGGCTCTACTTATCAGCTATCATCTTTCTGTACTCTACCTACTTGTCTGTGTCGACTACTTCCCTTCAAAAACAACTTACAACCCCGCTATTTCATTCAGTCAAGCCAGCACAATATACCGGTAGATATCAAAAACAGCCTACCTATATAAATATAAGAATAGTCGTAATCGTCTAAAAACCAAAAACCAAGAGCCATATTTAAAGGGGCGGTGCAACGATTTTATGATTAAAAAAATTTGCATCTCATCATTTTTACCTTGTTTATCGTGTCCCGGAGGATAAAGAAAACACCTCCTTCATTAAAAATGTCCAGATTCCGCTGCATAATTGCAAAGCGAAAGTCGAGCTTTTCCCCCCACCTGCAGCCCCAAGTGGCAGCCGAAGGAACTACAGCGAAAAGATTACGTGACCTCGCTCGGCTCTAAGCTGCAGCATGACGCCTGCTAATGTCAGCAGAGAGAGGGAGAGGAAGCGTCATCCGAGAGAGCACACGGGAACGGCACTCCGAATGACGTCACTAGGAGGGGGACCAGGTGTGACCCTGAAGGCTGGGAGGGAGTTGAGGGGTGCCCGAAATGCCAATATTTATCTTTTTTACGCAACAACTAGGACACGTAGGCGAAATCGGTTTTCTGTTCTTTACTTCAGAAGTGTCAGAGGGCAACTTCCAGAAATATTTGACCGAAGTCCGGAAATCGTGGCACCCCCCCTTTAAAGTTATTGCTTCCACTATCTACCAAGAAATATTGATAAATGTGTGCTGAACATTACTGTGATGAATTGGTGGATATACATAAGCATAAAAAATCAGACATTAAAGTTTTGCTCTCTTTTGCATCATTCCTAATCCAGTACCAGAGAGCACAAAATGAATGTAAACTATAGCCATGGCTATGGTATCTTTCTGGGGTTAGTCAATCAGAATTTCTCCAGCAAACATATCGAAATGGGTACATTTCTTGTGCAGTGCTTTAGCTTACTTTTACACACTACTGCTGTTCGCTTCTTGGTGCCAATTTTGCAGCAGCTGTACGTGTTGAAGTCAAGCTGATTCATTCAATCTGCAGTATTTCTGTCAGAAGTTTCATTTACAAGGTGACCTTTCCTTTCCAAGTTGTATGAAACCGCACTGAAAAGGTTTTCACAACACAGTCGCAAGTAGCAGAACACTCACCCGAAGATCTTCGTTGAGGTAGATCTTGGTGTAGAACAACTGGTCATCGGCTTCGTCCTCAAGCTCAGAGCTTGAGACAATTTCGTAAATTTGGGGGGCGTATCCTATGATTCCTAAGAAGGCAAAAACAAATTCATGCAGCTTTCAAAACAACATATCTTCTCTTCAGTCTCTCTTGAGCAACACTTCAGATTAAAGTTACAGTATTTAAATGCCAAGGACCTCTGGCTGAAGGAGCAACGTGCAAAAAAAAAAAAAACCAGACGCTGATTGGTTAGCTTTGTCATTCCTAAGAAAGCATTAGTCCTACTTCATGCATGCAGGAAGCGAAATGGCAAGTGCTAGCAAGCTGCGCATTTTTACAAACTTTTACAAAGTTTACAGCAGTGTCGAAAACACTGTGCCTAAAGGAATGTATCAGGCACACAATAAGCTACTTCACTGAATAAGAATGATTTAAAAAATAGATACAACATGCCCTCTCATTTGGCAACCCTTCACTTAACACAACCATTTTACTTTGATTACAGATGATGATTTTTTCTTGAAAATAATTAATTTTTACCAAGGTATTGATGAAAAATTGCTTTGTACATGACCGTTTCTCCAATTTCCTAAGTAGAAATGTGTCACCATGCTTAGGAATGAGATTCACACTAATAACCTTCTGGTTAGGGTACTTCCAGAATAGAAAACATCTTTTAGTGATGTAGAGGTGAAATTTGAGCTTTCCGATTGACTTGAGGGCTCAAAACTTATCTGTATTTGGCCCAAATGAAGTATTGAATGTTATGGTTTTTGACAGGTTCAAGGAGCAGAAATATAATGTTTATTTGAAGAGGAGCAGTTCTTTGGACAGGAAGTGGAATGGTCATGTCCACATAAAATGTTTTAAATGTGAAATTTTTTAACTTCACCCCTTTGAAATACCTCCCAATTCAGATAAATAATTTAATGAATAGCCCTACAAAGCACAAGTCAAATAAAACATTGAGTTCCCTTTTTTTTTTTAATTAAGGCAAAAAGCATGCTCTTAAGAACAATAGTTCTAACAGATGTTATAAGTGCTCTAAACATTTGCTATGGGTAGCTCTTTTACATTGCAAATGGTTTGTTGTTCATGCCGAATTCATGCCACTAGGTGTAAGTGTCAGCTTATACCTAACTTGAGACTGTAACTCATGCCACTGTTTATGAGGAGTGCTTAGAGCCTGCGCAAGAAAAACTTGAAATTATATTTAGCTAGATTTCTTCAACATGATGTTAGGAGCATGCTTGCATGCAAGTCCAAGCAACTCACCTGCATACGAGAAATCGGGGCAAGCTAGGAGATTAGGCCATTCATAGCAAAGAACAGCACAAAACAGAGATAAGCATCGTGAGAACTGCAGTTACAGGTATGAACAAGAGCAATCACACTACTCTTTTATCATGTCTAACCCCAGTTCATGCTTTATTTAAGTTAAAGGGGCAGTGCAACGGCTTTAACATTGAAAGAATTTGCAGCTCGTAGTAAATGCGCCACCTTCCCCCAAAATATTGCTATCCCGCTGTGTATTTGCAAAGGAAAAAACGAATTTTTTGCCGATCTGCAGCCGCGTGTAGTGGTTACGGGAACTATGGTGTTGCGCCACTGGAGTACACATGGAAGTCAACAAAGTCAGTCCCCCTCCAGTGCCACCTTTGCCATCAGGCCCGTGGCAAACGGTCTTTTGTCTCTATCGCTCGCAGTGACCTTCATCGATGCTAATCCTTCAAAAGTCACCAAACACGGAGGGAGTGGCTGAAGGCTCTGAAGACAGAACCGAATGGAAAAGCCAGGTGGTCCCCCAGTGATGTCACTCTAAAGACGGCGTCAGCGTTGAGTGGAACATTGACCTTTGGCTTGTTTCATTTTTCAAAATAAAAAAGCGAAAAAAAATGGTTTTTTGCTCTTAGTTCTATAGGTGACACAGATTAATCCCCGCAGTTAATTGGTTAAAGTCTGAAAATCGCTGCACCGCCCCTTTAAAGCCTAATGAATGGTTACTAAGCCAAGTGAAGATTTGCCAATCTTAAGATAGAGTCAGAGGGCACATGTGAGCGCAGTGCAGATCAATGAAATCGAAAGGTAAGTTTGAAAGGTTGATGAAAGACAACAATCACAAAGCACAAGAAACCACTTCGTGAACAGTTTCTGTCCTATGGGTATATTGCTTCAAAGAAGTTCAAACAAGCCGATTTTATATTTTGCACAAAGCAAAAACTTAAAAAACTCAATGTTCTGGTTAGGGAGCAGTGAATTATAGTCAATTGTGCTCTTTCCTAGGATAGTGAAGGCTTCAAGGCAGCAAAAGTGCCTAAAGGGGAAATTTCATTTAAATTTGTTCGTGTGTGCATGTGTTTGGGAGAAAACAGAACTGTGTTTTTCTCACCTCAAAAATGAACTATGGATAGCTAAATACTCAGCTTCCATACAAATGTAGCTCTAGTTAATGGGACTAGATGCAAAAGCTACAGTAAAAATTTACAAACAATTTTCGAAAATTTTCAATGGAAAAACTGGGCTGTTCTTTTCATTAAAAGCTTTTGAAAATCTCTTATAAATTTTTAAGCAGATAATCGTAAGTTCTAAAACTTTGGCACATAGTACCAACCGCTAGAACTCCATGTGGGCGGAAACAGAAAGTTCAGCAAAGCATAGCTTATTTCTGAGGTTAGAAAAACATGTCTTTTTTTTCTTGCAAACAGCCAGTATTTCAAGTTTAGAATACATGTGCACACATCATATACTGATCCTCACTGCAAGAACCATGGTAAAATGGGTATTGCTCTTTGCAGAACATTGCTAATTCTCCCCTTTAATAGATGGTAAATTAAGATTCTTGAGGGTGCACTTAACATCATTTACATGTTATTTCATCAAAAAGCGCACATATCAAATGCAAAAAGCATCACTTTTTTCTCTGGCATCCCTTATTAAAACTACTTCAAGCAAAACACGAACTACGCGCACAACTTCCTTTGCTTCTTGAGATGATGACTACTGTGCGGGTACCCACCGAGTGTTTTTGACCTAAACTTGAAAGATGGATAAACTAGATAAACTGTAAGTATAAATTTGACTGCAGCATGCGCCCACTACCGAATTCTGTCCCCATTATCTAGTTATTCTTCGAGCACAGTTACTAACTCTTTATGAAAAGAATATACCATAAAATACAGCACACATATGTGTGCTATGGTATGTATATATACCCTGAAACATGGAACATGAGCCTGCAGCATGTAAGTGTCCCCCTTCTGTTATCCCTAAATCTGGGGATTGGCCAGAGCACATTAAGTCAGGTGCACTTAAATGAAACCATGGATTGATAGAAACTCCTTCTTGATTTCAACAGAATTAGCATCCAAACTCAGCACAGTGGCAGCAAGTGAAAACAAAGAGAGATATAGTAACTGGAACATTTTCACTTGTGATTGGGAACAGAACCGTAATGTATACAGAATATCCTTGAAACAAAAAGCACAGTGTTCTTTTTCACTGCAAAAATAAACTATGCATCGCTGGACACTAAGTCTCTGCCCAAATATACTAGTGCTAGCGGTTCGGACTATATGCCGAAGTTTCAGAGCTAACTGTTTTGTTATTCAAAAGTTATAAGCGGTTTTATTAAACCTTCAATGGAGAAATGAGACCCGTTGCTGGTAATTTGTGCCATTCAGTCATATGTACTATTCATGGGCTTCGTCGGGCACCATTTTCCCATTGAAAATTTCTGAAAATCGCTATTACTTTGGAGTAAGAGATCAGTTTATTCCGAGACTTCAATATCAGGTAAGGACTGCTAGTGCTAGATCTGGACGCAGAACGTTCAGTCGTGCATAGTTTATTTCTGTGATAAGAAAAAAACGCTGCACGTATTTTGAGGGAACACGACGCTATATGTGTTCAGAACCCTAGTGCAAGCTGCCTTTTTGAGCTGAAGGGTATTGGTGCTTCATATTCACTCCTCTCCCTTTATTAAAGGGGTGACCGGCTATCAAATGTTCTTGTGGAAAAAGCAGCCACGCAGGCTTTGTTCGCAGAATGCTCGAAGTATTCTCTGTAAATTCACATTATTTCCAGGATCAATATGAAAATAAAAAGGGACCAGTTTTTACTTCGTAAAGGGCAGGAATTCCTTTTCCAAGTGTACCCACATAAATATCATGACAAAAGTATAGTGAAAGCAAAACTTTGCTAAAACACCGTGCCATTACTCTTAAACCGAACCAGGGCAGAAACAAATCTCACCTCCGGAATTGAGAAAACGATTTCCTTTTGCGGTTGGGTAAGAAGACTGTAAAAAAAATGGAAGAGAAGCATGTAAAGACAAGCTAAATATAATTGACACTTTTCCAATTTATCTCGAAACAAAAGGTTAGCCCGAGTACGGCCCCTGGATTCGTGCTCCTTTTCTGGCAAAAGCTGCGAGATCAACAAATATTCTGCAAAATGCGAGCTTCTAAAAGACACTGGTATGCTTTGTTCACCCCTAAGCTGACAGTGCAGTGGAAGCTATCCGCTCACTGGACCAGTAATATGTCCGTCTTTCACCAAGTGATCACTCACCCTCCCGTAACCATCCGCAGAGAGCGAGGTCAGGCGATGAAACGGAGGCGACTGATTGGTTTAGTGAGTGCATAGGTCCCACTGCACTGTCAGCTTAAGAGTGATTAGAGTATAAGTGCACGTTTAGTCCAGAAAGAAAATGGTAAGCTGCAGTATGGTTGAACGCTCACGTCTATGTCTCTCTGCACTTCCATTCGTTTGTGTCTCAAAACAGGTAGGTAACAACTGTAATGTCAATGTGAGTGAAAAGAATAGCCCACTATTGAATTTCACGAGTCGCATTCTAATCTTGAGCATTACGGAAAATATGTATCAAGCAAACTTCCCGCGATGGAAATGAGAGGGGCTTTGCTTGCGTGTTCACAAGCTTACGCTGTCAATAGACGGCTTTGCTTGCGTGTTCACAAGCTTACGCTGTCAATAGACACTCTTTTCAGAAACACATGAAAGAAACGGAAATTGCTTGGATTATAACAATGCGCATGGCCGGGTAGTATGGGGAATGAAACACTTAGCCCAAGTGTGCCATGGCCGCTTTCTCTTACCCATTTGAAAGACTACCATCAAAGCTGCAGGTACCGTAACATGAACATGTGAGCAAAGGGCTAAACGTCACCTACGTCTTATTTGGGCTAACCGTGACAAACTAAAGAGTGATTCTGTTATCTAGGTTTATCTTATGGGTGATCTGAAAGGTAACCCAAATACCGTCATCGACATCTGTTTTTGTAGTTGGCTTTTGGTTCCCGATTTTAGCCAAGTGACACTGTTTGGGATGTCTTGCCAAAACAAAACACTGCAACGGGGAGCAAATTGTCCAAGAACCTTATGCATTCATTATTCTATATGCTACATTAGCAAGAGAAATCTTGCTAGCTTCATTATAAATCATTAATATAAAGTCCCCACTAAACATAGGTTGTTTAAAAGATGTGATGTGGGATTAGTGGATGCAGGAAGACTTGGTTTTTATGAAAATTTGCAAATAATTAAACAAAACGTAAGTGCAATTTCAGTGCCTATTCTACTCAGTGTAGCTCTGTCTAGAAAAATTTCATAAAGATTTAGAATGTGTTGTTTTAGGTCAGATGAAGGTCCATAAGAGAGCTAAAATGCAGTGGTGTTATTGATGACATGAAGTAGCCATTTCACATGCACAGTGAAATAATTATGAAGCTACACTCTGAAATGGTGGCTATGGGGATGACGGACAATAGCAATTGGAAGCTCTCCTTGTTCCTGTCTAACACCATTTCTGGTTTTAACTTCCGAGTGGTTCTTGGGTCTGTGAGGAAGCTGTCAAGCCGGGGGGGGGGGGGGCAAGTTTTTTTTGGGGTTGTGCCGGGGGCGGCATAAAACTGCCCCATGGGTTGCCAACCCCTCGCCTAAACTAATTAGGTAAATCGGCATTGGTGAAAACCATGTCGAGCTACACGGCAATTTTATTTTTATCCCTGCATCAATATTCTTTATCATGATAGGGTATGAACCCCCAACTTGGGTACTCATAGTGAGGAACATTGCATCATCTGCCTGCATGCAGAAAGCAAGCGGACCTGATATAACTGTTTGAATGCACCCGTAGTGATATAACAATTCTGACTGAGGTTAAAATTAAATAATTTCATTGATGTCCTCTTCAGGCTGGCTCTAGGTAAAAAAAATATGTTCTTTTGATGGGAATTGTGAATGAAGTTCACAATTTGCGTCAAGGAAATGTTTTTGCTTTGAGCCCCTTTTTACAACACCACACAACAGTGCCATTTCACCTCGGGTATTCTGTGATGTAACAGCAACTTCACGAGCAGCACACACATTACACCAGGCCAGATGAGGAACGTCAGTTCACTGATCTGGCAGCCATACCCTGGGGCTGGAGATCACAAAAAGGTAAAAATTGTCCCTTTCTTTGTTTTCCTCAGGATGAACAATTTGCGTCCTCCCTGGTTACGCAAATATTGATTCACCAATTTAGCTCGAATGGTGGTAATGGCGCAGTTGTCTTGGCAACCTACCCACCCATCCCAAGCTTGAGTCCGAAACAGAGAAATCTGGAAATATCCAAGCAAAATTATACATACCGCAAGGCTTTGATCGGGCCAACAAAACCCTTCTGCCGAAAATAGGACATTGGTGTTGAATTTATAAAACTTCTTCAGTATTTCCTTGGCTCCAGCAGCGAATATCACGTCATAGCTGGAAGGCAATGTTCCACAAATTAGCCTTGCACAGGTCACCCTAAGTTGAAATATTATAAACTCATTCAGAGAAAAACATAAGGTGCCAGATCAAAGATGGCTTTAAACACATTTATAGGATTTGGCCAAATAATCACATATGTGACCTTTCCCATAGTACTTAGAAGTGATTGCATGTTTAATGAATCAGGGGTGGAACTCATGAAATATATTTGGGAGCAGCCACGGGAGCAGCTGAAACCGCTGTTTTGGAGCAGGTTGGGAGCAGCTAAAACTACATTCTGGAGCAGGCTAGGAGCAGCTCAGATCCGTTTTCATTGCACTTCAGCTCGTGTCTTAGACGAGCACGGGAGCAATTTCAATTGTGCTTAGCAGCACAGATGAACATGAGTGGTTAGGGACCTAGGTAATGGGATAACAGTGTAACAGATGCCAAAACTTGAAACTTTGTGAGCCTTAATGAGAATCAAAAAGCAAGTACCATATGTTTCTGCAGATGGTGTCCTTGATATTTTCTGAGTGGCTTTCAGCTGCTCAAAATGCAAACCAGCACTGCTTATCGCACAACCCCCACGTGCTCGACATAGTAATTATATGTGCGAACCACGTGACGTGCGTAAGCAACGGACGTGCAGTTGCGTGGGGGAACAGGGCAACAAATTTCGAGTTTATCCTATTGTGCAACTCAATATCGAAGCAGCAGACTACAATTAACGGAGTTATCGTATTCAAAGCGATTAGCGCGGGAGCAAGGTTAAAGTACGCCGAGCAGATCTACCGCTCGCGTGACAGCAGCTGGCAGGCAAGGTTTCGGATCGGACCGCGTTTCAGTTCTATCAAATCGCAATTATCTTGCGGGAATGCTGTTTCAACTTCTAACGATGAAGTACTAAAAGGAGTATTTTGCTCATTTGGTTTCAATTGGCTGACGTCCGGATCCCGGGCTGCAGAGCCTCAGGCAATCTGACGCTTAACGACTCGACCTCACCTCGGCCGACTTGCTTAACAGCTTATGGTTGAAGAATAGCAGTCCAGTCGCAGGTGTAGCGATTCGAATCCGATCCCCGAGTTTTTTCGCGCGCTTCCGACTCGGGATACACAGGGAGAATAAACAGAACAAAGGATTGCAAGGCCGACCAAGCTAAACGGGCTAATTGTTGCCAATCGAGTCGATAGGAACCGAAACCAAGACAAAATACTTTTTTGTTTTTGGCGCACGTTGTGCGATTTGGTGCATAATGGCGCAAGGTATTGGCTGTGGCGCAGTTTCCGTGAAATGGCGCAGGATGGCGCAGACAAATGCGTCTGGCGCAAAATGGCGCAAATGGCGCAAAATGGCGCAAATTGCGCAGCCGTTCCACCCCTGTGAATTCACTTGGGTACATATCTCACACATTCTTCAGGTTATTTTTTACTTAGATGCTTAAAGGGGCCCTCCGGAGCGTTCTGCGATGGTCTATTTAGGGCAGTAACTCAATCTACAGGCCCTAAGGATCCTAAAAATCATAATACTACCGTCTTGCGCGGCGGATTTCCCCATTAAAATTGCTATCAAAGTCCCCGGCAAGCCTCCCTTCCTGAGATGACCCTGGAAAACGGGAGGGGCATCCCTTTACGCGTCAGCCAATAGCAAGCGAAGGATTCCGGCGTCACTGCACGTCACCAACGCGGCCAACCGCCGACCCGCGGAGGAATCTCTCGAACACGCGCGGACCGTCGTCAAGGAGCCCGGACTTTGTGCTCGGCAGTCGCCGTTCGTTGCACCACACCGTCGCGCTGCTACTGCAATACGCAGTCGCATTCCACAGATGACAAGGAAAAGTTTGACTTGTTGACGTGTAAGGATCGCAAAGCTGGCTTCGGAGTCGGGATCCACGGGAAGAAGGAACACGTGTCCCGCAAACGCACGCCTGCAGACGCCCCGGGAAACAGACGAGCCGACGCGCCGACGCATCACCCCCTAGCAACAATCTTGCGGGGAGAAAACATAGTTCGCTGGTTTTGGAGCAATAATTGTGGACTATGTTTCCCGCACCACAATCAGTTTACGTTTTTCTCAAACTCTAATTTACAACAAGCTTAAAAAGTGTTGCAATAATAACGTTCACATTCACCGCGAGATGCAGCATTTCCATTGGACAAGTTATAGCGATGAACAGGGAATGGGGATTGTCTTCCAAGAGAAAATAGTCCCGATATATTTCTACTGCCATCTGCTTAATAAACGGTTTTGTAATCTAAAACTTTGTATACATATTAACTTGCACCTACTACGCAATATAACAACATAAACAGACGATCGCAGAAAACTCCGGAGGGCCCCTTTAAATTCAATTAGAAGAAAATGCATGCTCGAAAATTCATACAGGCAATGCAGTTTGAAATACAGTATTTTCTTAAAAAGATACTTCAACGAAATTTGAAATATACCCTTTGTGTTCCGAAATAGGCTCAGTATGATCCACAATATCCGTAAATGATAATCGCACGTTTGTATTTTGAGCCTGATGGCTACATGCAGGGCTGTAACCAGGGGGGGGGGTTAGGGGGTTCTGACCCCCCCCGAAATTTTTTTCTGGGTACGGCCCTGGTCGGTGCACTGGCAGCCAGCCGATTTTAATCTCCACCTCTGCGCACGCGCAGTGGTGCCGGTCGGCTACCGGGGACCAAACCGGGACCGGTTCTCCGGTTCGCTGTAACTCTCCATTATATGCCACCGATGCACATGATTCATAAGCGAAAATAAGACAATAGACACTTTCAAAATGGCCGCCGTTGTCCCCGAAATTTTTTTCATGGTACGGCCCTGGCTACATGTATTTTTCGTTATAAACTGCCCACCCTGGCAAGCGCTCGGAGAGCAGCCAGTGGAGAGCACTTGACATCCGCCGCAATCGTGAAATATGTTGTCTCAAGACGAGCAAAGCTGCGGCGAGGCTGACGTCGAGAGTATGTCCTAACCGTTCTAGCCACAGAAGCGGCCGAAGCATTCCAGCAATCGATCGGGCCACTGCAACCAACCCCAAACCTGCCTTTGTACGAATTTTGGGTGATGGGTTAATCTTCTATAATTTTGTAGAGGGACAATAGCGATGTCTGAGAACCACAAAAGAGAGTCTCGGCGAGAGGGGAGTTTTTCCTTCCCCTCTTCTCTCGTGGTGGCCGGAGGTAAGACAGTTATTGTCACTGCCTGTCAAGGTTCGTAGATGGGCATTACAAACAAGGCGTTAGCAGCATCCACCAGTTGCTCTTTGCTAATTGTTTAATTTGTTTTAAAATTCCTTTTAGTGTCTTTTTCAACAAGAGATTGGTTTGCCTGACGTGATACTGTTCCTTTGAACATGAATAGACCAAGAAATAAGCAATAGTTGTAGTATCCTTTTAAGGCATTGGTAGGTTAATAAATATAAATATATTGCTACTATATTTCTCTAGTCATTTCTTTTTTTTTAGATCTGTCGTAGCTCATGCAGTCCTAAATCACATTTCGATCAGAATAAGATACACACAGCAATTTTCAAATGAACTGAAAACATGAACCTCGGTACAAAACACACATCTTTGTCAATGCGAAAGACTGCTTGTAAGACTCATTCATAACTAATAAAATATGCCAAAAACCTCAATTATTACCTTCCAATTTCTACCATGTGAAGCACAGATAGTAGTACCTTAGCAATCACAAGGCAAAGCTATAGAGCAGTTTCATAAAACACTTCTTCACCGCCCCGTGCTCCAACAGCTCATGAACTGCATCTGCCACTTCCCCCTTTCGTTTGCACGCAGATGATTATTGGCATTTTTGGCGCCCATGAAACACAGATCCATGGCGAGTGGCTTCGTCGATGACAGAACTCGACAAGTATGAATGGGGACGTGTTTGTTATGCATACAACCACGCTAATTTGTCTTTTTTTCCAATCAGAGTCGCCCTGGCTGCATCTACCGGAGACATCCTGGCCCCCGACGGGTCAACCTCTCGATCACCACCGCCTCTAACTCCGAATAAAACCGGTGTGTATAAAAATCAAGTACCAGGCAATGCTCCATTAGGTTCTCAACTACTCTGGCTGGTGCAGTCAATCCTGACATGAAAAAACTCGAGTGAGCTGGAAAACACCACCTCTGTGCATAGAAAGACCAGAGGCATCAAAAATATTCTGGAAATGGGGTGGGGGGTGCAACGGTGGTGGTAGGGTGGGGAGGGGCAAGCAATATTTTCTGCCTCCTTCCCCGTATCACTTTCATGAAAGTTTTTAAATGTTTGAGAGGGGGAAGCAGCGCAAATCCTGCCTTCCTGTTCGGATGCCACTGAGGAAGACATAGGGCGAAAGTTCGTCGACATGGCATCTGGCGTGATTTTGAGTGGGAAGCATATCATGTGAAACCTCGCCACATGTCAACGGATTACAAAATGGAGCATATTAAGAACATGAGAGGGCACCATACCTGTCCACAAACATGAGGATCACGGACGTGTCATCTTTGTAGTCGACGGCAGCCTTCCTGAGGAGCCTCACCTTGTAGCCTCCCCCCATGCCCCGTGCCATGTCACCCCCGAGCCATTCCTGGTTCATGCCCAGGACCTGAAGGGAGGTCGGAAGAAATGCTGCAGGCTCCCAGGACCCGCCCACACCAAGAGCTACAGTCGAATCTCGTCACTCAAACTCTCTTAATTCAAACTTGCGGATAATTCAAACTAACATGCAGGTCCCTTCCTATGCGTCTCTGTGGGGAAAAACTCCAGATAATTCCAACTTTGCTTTGTTCAAACAAATTTTCGGTCCCCCTCAAGTTCGAATTATTGAGATTCGACTGTATAAAGCTAGGAACGTCGCCCGGGGCTAATCGTACAACCCTCATACCCGTTTTTAAACTCCTACATGGTGCTCCACATCGAGAAACTGGAGTGGATTTTGAGGCCTGCAAGGAGAACCCTTACAAAACTGAGCAATATGTGAAAACCGACCTGAGGTGCATAAATCGATGCGAATATTCCACTCCTTTTTAGTTTTTAGGCAGCAGTACCACAGTAATGTTGCATGATTGTGCTCCTTTTCTGCATCGAAGTCTACTAGTAATGACACTTGGTATACAAAGTAAAATTTAAAAAAGATGAGCATGCTTTTTTTCTTGTCAAAATGACAATATAGTAAACTAAAAAATGCTTGAAGTATGCGCGAGCTGGTGTGTGTCACGCGTGATGAGAAATCTCAGGACTTGGGTGAAACACAAAATTGAGAGGCAGAAAGAAAAGGAGACAGACAGTACAAAAATTTAAACTACGGAGACTGAGAAGAGAGGCACGACCATAGTTTCTTATTTATGAAGAATGCCAATCAAATGGGGAAGAAATTGCTTGTATGCCAATGCAACTGAGTGACCGCCTTTTTTAACCACAATGCTGGACTACAGTAAAACCTCGTTATAACAAAGTTGAAGGAGCGGTCGTAATTATTTCGTTATAACCATTAGTTTGTTATAGCCAATGTCCATTTCTTCCCACTATTAGCAAGCGAGGGGAATTATGATTGCTTTGTTATATCCATTAGTTTGTTATATCTCGTTTTGTTATAACGAGGTTTTACTGTATTTCTATTTTAATTTTTCTATTTCCACCTATACTTACCCTTCCTGAACCCACTGATACAAAAAAGCAGCACAAAAGCTGTGCAAGAACTCCCGACCTTGACGCCTTCATGTGCATGTGTCTGTTTTAAGGTAGTGACATCAAACCATTTTGCATTGTGACTTTTTTTTTTGAGCACAAGAGCCTTTCCCAGCACAAGCTCTTGGCTTTGACTGTGCAACAATGCTCATGTGCCATGCATAAAAAAAAAGATTAGTAGCCATATTATTTAAAGAGGAGCTCTGGCATCAATTTGAACATTTTCAACTACACATTTTCTGAAAGAGTACAAAAAACTGAGCCTGGAGCAGAAAGTAAATTTCCCAAAAACTTTCCAAATAATTTTTAATTTTAGAAATACGATATAACCGAAACCAAGACTAACCTGCAACTTTACTGGTCTGCCCTCTAGTTGCGACATCAGATGTTGTACAAACATCAGCACATGAGCAGCTTTGAGCCTGTTTCGCCCAGCGTCCCAACCACTCAAAAGGTCATTGCAACCGTTCGTGGGAAATAATGGACTGCGATTCTTCGATCTCGCCTTAGTCAAGCAATGGCCGGCAAATACTAAAGATTTTCAGCACGAGATTTCAGACAATTTGTTGTTCGCACTCTAACTGCTGGCATCCCCTTGAGAGAACCGCCCGCGGCGGCAGCACTCGCAATCTACCAACGTGCGGACCCAGATGCTGCTTCAGAAGCAGAATGGTACAGAAAGCAGTGGTGTAGCTACCGGGCAGGCCAAGGGCCCCTGGGCCCCGGGTACCAGGCGTCCCAGTCACATAGGGGGTGCCACCTCTGGAAGCATCTGGCAGCACCCGGTGGCAGATGTTTTTCTATTTCTTTCTATTTTTAATATTGTGTATGTGCCTTCAATGACCCACGACTTAGATTATCTTTGGTAAAAAACAGCCACGAAGAAGAGACCAAGCACGACTTAAACCGGCCAGTTCTCGATCGGCAATTTTCGGGTGAAAATAAAACGAATTTCGAGCATCAAATTGTGTTCTGAGTAGTTGGGCATTTAATGTATCATGTACAAATGAAAACCTTGGCAAGCATAAATACCCTGTCAGTGTCCCTTTAAGAAGTGCACTGCAATTGGGACCTACCTTTGGCTTCAAGCCGTACACTTCTGCAGATCGTGCAAAACGTTTGTACCCATCCGTTTCCTCAGAGGCAACCGTAAATATGACGAGGCGATGGTTACCTGAAATGTGGAAATAAAAATTAAATGCCTATCTAGCCAGTAGAGGAAAGGCATTCATTAGTTTCACCACATTGTGAAAATGCCAATGGGGTCAGTGCGGAATTCAGTATATGAGATTGAGGATTCCTACACAGTACTCATTTTCATTTCATCACTAAAAAGAGAAGCCATGATGCCCCATGGTTCTTTTCACTTCTCCAATATTAATGGTCCCTTCCCATGAGAAAACCTTGAGTGAGGAAGACATCACACAACCGTGCTACGACAAATCAGTCAGACTAAACACTTTTGACACCCTCCGATTTTGCCTCAAATAGTTGAGGGAGCCTTTAGCACGTTAACAGAACCCCGTTTGTGATTTAACACACTTCATCAAAGACTCACGGGGACAAGACTGTTGCAAACGCCCGTGCTACGCAGATTCATAAACAGTGAATGTTGTGCAAGAAAGATCCCCTTCTCTCACAAAGAACATATGAAGTACTGTGTTTCCTGCCTGAAAACTCACTCGAATTTGCTACAAGCTGAAATGTTTTTCATATTTCACTTAATTAGTATGATTTATTCTTCTGCATATTTTCATTATGTTACAATGTAGTAAGCAAGCTGCGATCTGGGGAAAAGTGTTGCGACAGCCCATGCAGCTTTTGCGCACTATTCTACTTCATAAAGAGAAATGTGTCATGTAACAACTTATTTCATACCTTTAAATAAGAAAGTTTTTTTTTTTTTAACTCATAAGTTTTTTACAACTTTTTTTATGTAAAGCTAACACTTTCTGTATATATTTATGAGATTCTAATTCTGTTGGTGAAAACCCAAACTAAACAGCATTAAAAAAAAATGTGGGCTCCCACTGAAGGTAGAATGTTCAAAAGAAATACCCAGTCATTTGTGGAGAGGAATTAGATTGTAGCTATGGAATGGTCTTGAAGGAATTTTTTTCCCAGATGTGTCCTTGCCCCCCCCCCCCCCCCCCCGCCCACAGGAAACATTTCTTTTACTTCATTTTCTAAAAAGCCAATACAGATTGTTGCACAGAATTCCTGCACATCAGGCAAGAAACCTTTGTCGTTAAAATGGCAATTTTGAAGGGTATGTTCTGCGTACAACAAAGTATTATCCACTGGTACTTACACTATGTCATACATTTTATGACCACACTAAACTTGAAGGTTCTCTACAAAGTTTCAGAGTAGGTTCACAGCTTACCATGCGCAGCAGATTCGGTGTCATTTCCCGAAGTAATAGAGTTGTACTGCTCGGTGTTGTCGACAGGTGCTTGACATGCAATGTTGCCTTCTGTAGCCACATCACAAAACTCTGCAATGTCGACAGAAAAACAAAAGATATTCTAGTTGCACCCAATTTCACGCGAAATTCCTTAAATTCAGCAAGTGGTTAGAATACTGATAGATGAAATGTGACAATTCCTAGCCCTTTCGATTCAACACAGATTATGTTTTGTTATGTTCAGCTATCTAGCACCGACCAAAATTGAGCATGCACGGAATATGGTTGCACAGCATTATACTGCAGTGATGGTCATCCAGTAGCATCTAATGCGGAGAGCAAGACGTCTGCTTCTTGTGCAGGAGTTGCAGAGACATCAGAGCAACGCCAAACTCCGATTGGCTTTGATTGAAAGAATAGTGGGTAGACTTCAATGCTTGAGGTCTATTCACTATTTTTTTTCAATCAACCAATAAGAGTTCACCATTCTGACATCATCGCAACCCCTGTGCAAGAAACAGACGAACTTGCGCTCCGAATAGCAAGAGATTATGAGCTGAAATACACAAGAGTTTCATAACTAGCATATTCAGGCATGCTGGTAAAGCACATGCAAACTTAAAACAACAAAAAAAACACTGTACGGGGCAAATAATTTTAATGAGCCATTAACTTACAGGGTGAGTCAAGCAGGTTGTTGGCCCTTCGAAGGGACCACATAAATTGGTTACTTAATGCGTTGCACTAAGCTCTTTTACAGAGCTGGCTAAAGACAATGCATTTTGTGCATCGAAGCTTGGAACAACAAGCATAACCCAGTGAAGAATAAAAAATTAAAAGGGTGAATTCGCTAACTTCAGCATCCGTCTGATCAGCGCGACAATCGACAGATGGCGACAGCTGCCAGCACATAGCCGGAACAGCCTGTCAAAGAATCTTTCCTGCTACGTTTTTGTGAGCATTTAGTGTGTTTCATAAGTAAAAGTAAAAAAATGCACTACACCAAAACAGCCCGCACCACATTTAGCTTCAAAACATTGTTTGCTATTGCTGAGGCCGAAAGAAGTGCGCAGCTGCTGTGGCCACCTGCAGCCCCACCTGTAGTGTGCCTAGAAGTGAGATTGTATCCAATTGCTCGATTGGGATGACGCGGTTTACAAGCCACATTTGCATTACAAGGTGCAAGGAGGAGACGAAAGCGTCGATTGTCTGCAAGCGTCTCTCCGCAACCCGCTATCCTCCTCGCAACGTGACAACAGACGCATACACACGTGCAAGCAGTCTGTGCAGAATGTGTTCACCATTGAACTGCTAACTCTCTGTGTGGTTTGATTGTTTTCCTTTTTTTAAATCTAGGCTCTCGAGCCAGCTGCACTCTTACGTGCCACCATATGTCAGCTGCTGTGCCAATCAGATGCCTTTTGCCACCACTTCTGCACTGTAGGTGGCAAATTCACACTCTTAACTTTTGAGTTAGCACAAATAAGCTCATTGTTTGAAATTTTGATTGGATACACAAAATGCAACATTTTTTCACCCTCCCCATACGAAAACTTAGCGTGATGCATTAAGGAAGCGATCTACGCGGCCCCTTCAAAGAAACGATTATCCATTTGACCCATCCTGTTCAGGGCAGCAGACATAACTGTTTTTTGCTGCAGTAGAATTTTTTTACAAAGCTGTAAATGGCAAATATTTGCTTTCATTTCTTTTTGCAAAAAATAAAAATGAGATTTTTTTTATGTCTCAAGATTTTTGAAAATCTATTTCTTTCGAAAACTAAAAACTATGTTTAGTCATCGAGATGTTCAATGCTAGACACTGATCACCCTAGTTTTCCGCCGTTAATCCACCTTCATCAAGATATATGTCCCGACATCCTGCAGAGCTATACAGGGTGTTTGCACCACTTCAGGCAGCCATGTCAGAGGTAATACTTCCGGTTCTCCCATGTTTACCTTGTGTTTGGGTGGGTGTGCGAAGACTCTTGGTTTACTAGTGAGCAATTGCATGAGAGATATATGCTCTAGAAATGCCCGTGTCATGCTTCTGAGCGGCCGAAGTGCACCAGCACAAACAAAATGTCATAAGTGGAGTTCTTTCAACCGGGCCAATTACAGCACATAAAAATGCAAGGTGACATGGTGTTCAAAGAAAGAAACATTGAATACCAAAGCAAGCAAGTCAGAGCACTAGAGAGACTGATGTCGCACTGAAGTAAGCGTAATTAAAGTCGGAAGACTGTATGCTAAAGCCAAGACCCGGCTCAGCGAACCCTGCGGGGAAGCTTGGCACGTATCTTCGGTGCCTGGGGAAGGTAGGTGCCCACCGCCGATGCCTCGCTGTTTACGAACTAGCTGAACGCATATAATGACTCGTAGATTTTAAGTCGTTCTTAGGTGTATGGACCAGGCAGCTTGAATAAGTAGCCACGATACCTTCGGCAGATTTGTCATGTCTTTGAGGAACAAGTGCTCTTTCTTTTTATCCAAGCGATCAGGAAGGCATGTCGATACCGTATAAGTAAATTTCAAGAAGTACCACAGTTGGTCCTCGTTGGGGAGACTTCTGAACTATGTGCTAATCACTGCAGGTTCTCAAAAGCAAGCCAAAACATTAGTCAACCGGAAGTAACATACTTCTCCTGGAAGTTTGGTCATGTTTGTTTTTGTGTGCCTCTGAACAGCCACCACTCAAAGAGTGAGAGAGAGAGATAATGTACTTTTCCTAAAATAAAATGGTCGAAGTGGGCATTTTAGTAGCTCCTGGATCTACTCAGGATTCCACATTGTAATAGGAAAATCACTACTTTTATTTCTTATTCTTATTTCTTTGTCGAGGTAATCGCTCGAGTCCATTAAAATTGTAAGACATCTCTCGGCCACAAAATTGCATGTTCGAGAAAAAGTGCGATGTGCAGTAAAGAAACTAACTCGTAATGCCCAATAAATCAATGGCACATCAAAAACTAGAGTCATGGCAACTTAAACACCGGATATTTATTACTTCCTGAAGTTGCGAGGGACCTTGAGAGAAATTAGTCTGCCTGCTAGAAGTTTGAATTTCTGTTCCACTTTCGACAGACCCTATTGCAAACGTACACTTGTACGAGAACATTAAAAAAATTTCTAAAATCAGCAATATTGTGAAATTTATACGTGGTACCGCCAGACAGTTACCGTTTGAGGTGCACGCCGCTACGTTGCCTTACGTCTCTTTTAAAATCCAGATCGTACAAGCACATCATCACAAAAGCGCTACTAAACGCGCAAAAGCTGCCGGAAAAACGACGGGTCAATCGGTTACTTGATCCGTCCATGACGTGAAGCACTCCGGAAAGAGAAACTAAGAGCGAAAGTTGGCCGGGCATCACCTCGCCTCCTTCGGAAACACGACACACTACCAAATCCCGGCTCCGAACGTTAAAATTTGTTCCAAAGCGCCTCATGAAGACGATAGTTTAATAAAACACCAGAACATTAGATTCCGACATCCGTCCGAGTTCAAGTGCCCGTAGGAGGCAAGTCAGGCAAGTCGCTCAGGTTGGGGCTACGCACGCTGTTAAACCCTTAATGATCCCGTCGATGGTGACGTGAGAGCTAAAATGGATCACCGCTCTGATCGAAGGGAATATACGCACCGGTTCCGCTGTGCGAATCCTCTCCGGGTACAGGATAAACGATCAGGAACACGGAGATCAGAGCGAGCAGCAGTCGAGCGTCGGCCATGTTGATCCCATGCAGTCTCTTTCACTTTCCCCTTTCGTAGGCGCTCTCTCTCTTCCTTTTCTTGGAGGGCGCGGTTGTGCGGAGAAATTTTTTCGCAGATGGTTTCGATTGGTCACTCCTGCCGAAAAGACGAGGAAGATATTTCTGGATGAGCCTGGTTCAGCGCAACAACTTAACTAACCGTAGAAATAAGCGCGCTCTCCCCTCTGACGCGCCCTTGATGCGTTACGACACAGAGATAGCTACACCGTACACGTTTCCTTGAGCGTCTTTACAAGGAAATCTGGCACTAACCATAAAGGTTTCGTTTTGTTTAATAGATATGGCCTTGTTTTTAACGGTTCTGATGAAACGCTGTAGTGGTTCGCGCAACAAGGATATTTTCAGCGGCAATAAGAAAGATTCCGAGTGCCTCGATGCAGAAGAAAGTGTGTTCGATAAAGTCGGCAAAGCTTTAAAAATTCACAGACAATGTACGCTCGTCGTGCAAAGTATCCTAATTGGAAGCAAAATCGCGCAACCGAAGTCTGCGAAGCAATAAAAAAAAAATTAGGCATTTCTTTTATGTTTTCGTGCTCAGTGAGAACCGATGCGAGGATGTGATACGTGACCCATTGCACGACTTTGAAACAAAAACCACAAGCGAGGTCATACGGCGTTCTGGCGTAACGGCATAGCGGCGGCTTGAGTAAAATAAAAGATAAGTTTCCGGAGACGAGAAAGAAAGTCTGTCGTCTCAAGTTGCAGGCGTTGCAGGCCTCGACCATAGAGGCCTCGACGGCTCCGCTTCCGTGTCTTCCCGCAGATAAGCCGCACGCGGATTCGAAGTTTTTTGTAATAAAATTTTCTTGTAAAATATATATATATATATATATATATATATATATATATATATATATATATATATATATATATATATATATATATATATATATATATATATATATATATATATATTGTGTGTGTTTATGGTGGGCACTTACGCTACTTTTTGTTAATTCTAGAGGCGCATGTAGCACAGAAAGTCTTCGAAAGTATCGATAATCTAAAATAATTATGCGAAATTGCTATAATAAAGAATACATGTTTGTTTGTTTGTTTTTGTTTGTATGTTTGCTTGTTTTTATACCTAAGAAGCTAGGGCGAGGGTAAGACTGACCGTGGAGGAGGAAGCAGACGGAACGTTGGAGAAGAGAGGAGGAAACCTCCTTCTCTCTTTAGCGTTCCGGCTGCTTCCTCCTTCCCGGGCCCCGGTCATTCTTACCGTCGCCCTGCCTTCTTAAATTACAATTATTTATTTTTCAAAAAAAAAAAAAAATGAGCAATAAAAAAAAAAAAAAAAAAAAAAAAAAAGGATCGGTGGCCGAGTGAGCTAGCGTACACCATCTCGGAGCACGTGGAGCGAAAGCTCGCGCTGCAGAACCCAGAGATCCTGGGTTCAATCCTAAGCCCTGCCCGTTTCGATTTGGATGAGCATGCATCGTACCGGCGTGCAGTCGTATATAACAACTGCGTGATGCACGTTAAAGACCCCAGGGTAGCGGTTGTACTGCACTGGCTAAATTTTTCATCTACAGCTGGGAGACAAGTCACCCGTTGAGGCAGACTAAGTTATAGGCTGCCTCAACGGCACCCTAGTGCATGCATAGTTACAGACAATAACGCGGTCTGAGTACTATAAGTTGGTTAATTAACTGAAATCTGTTCATGAACTTTATTTCATTTCGTGAAAATAAACATATCGTTACAATCAGAAACTTGTGGGCGTCGTCGAAAACCACTACATCAGTAAATTAAAGAAAAAAACGTGGAGCGCATGGGAAACAGTGTGGTGCCCCAAGGTCACCGCTCGTGCAACAAGCACGAGACTTTCGGAGCTAAAACGCACCCGCGCGGTTTTTCATTTCTTATGCATCTGTTTGTTCGCTTGATTTTTACTTTTTTATTGTGTGTACCAAAGTGAAGACTACTGTGTTTTTTACACATTAAATAAAGATTTATTATTATTATTATTATTATTTTTATTATTATACTTTCGTCGCTCTTATTCAACATCTATGTTAATGATATGGCTAGCGCAGTTACCAACTGTATGATATACCAATACGCTGACGATACCCTTGTATTGACTCATCATCTTTCATACCCAAAAGCAATGGAGATGCTTCAACGATCTTGTAATGAGCTCATTGATTGGTTTAATCAAAATCTGATTGCTATAAATGTATCTAAAACAAAGCTCGTATGCTTCCACAGTCCTTTGAAAGTTGTTTCGCTAAATATTCCACTTTTTTTACACAAATCTAATTGTTTCCCGTGCCATTGTGATAAAGTTCCATATTCTGACACAGTGAAATATCTTGGCATTCTCTTCGACTCTCATCTATCATGGAATTCGCATCTCACTAAAATCTGTGCTAAACTTAGGAGTGTCTCCTGTTTGCTTTATAACATCAAAACATTCGTGCCCTTCGGTTTGCGCAAGCGCATAGCTTATTCATTAGCCTACACACATTTGCGCTATGGCATAACTGTATTTGGCCAATGCTCGAGACTATGGCACAAAAAAGTGAACGGTATCTTAAGAGGAATTTTGAGAAATGTGTGCTATGGCATGAGTGTTTCCAATTTAGATTTATTTCAAACTTTATCGATGCAGAACTGTCAATATTTGTTCCTAGAGACGGTAGTGCTCAATTACAACTGGAAGGACAACTTTAAATCTCCTCACCCCGCCACGCGGCAATTGCGGAAAGTTCCACTCTACGCCGTTCCAACATGTTATACACGGTATGGGAAAAACATGCGTTCATTTTATGTCCCTCACATTTTCAACGAGGTACCACCAAGTCTCTCGAACTTTACTTAAAAAAAAAAAAAAAAACTTAAAAAAGAACTACGCAATATATTTATCAACGAAGAAACAAAGTGATCTTTTTTTTTTTGTAAATTATTTATTGTTTCGCGCAGAAACTATCTTGTCTATCATTTATTGTTCTCATTTATTTGTATGTGAGTGGCACACTCTAACGTGTTGCTATACGAGTAACTACTTTAGCTTCCCTGCAATACACGTTCGTGTTCATTTTCTAATACTCTATTAATCTGCTTGGCATGAACTTGATCCTTTGAAATTTGACTTTTGATGAAGTGTGACTCTGAACTGGTGCTTTCTTATTGCCTTGTGTTTTTGTCTTTTTTTCTATTACTTTCTGAAACTCTCCTGTGAATCATGGTAACCTTTAGGTTCAGTCCCACAAGCCCCTGTTGGCTTAGACGAACCTGCCTTCTGCTGTTTTGAACTAACACAGCGTAAATAAATTTACTATTACTATTATTACTATTATTATTATTATTATTATTATTATTATTATTATTATTATTCATATCACCCCCCTCTGGAGATTTCATTTCATTTCATTTCATTTATTTACCTCAAGGGCGTCTTTTGAGGACGCATTACATGAGGGGGTGGCAATAAATGGGAATACAATATAAAACATAACGTAAGAACACTAACACAACCACATCTCGTCTAACCACAAAATAAAACAAGATATATATATATACACAAACATATGTTCCCTACTCATTGAACAAAAGCACGCACATTTCTTCAAACGCTGTAATATCTAAGTTGGTTACAAGATGATCTGGCAAGTTATTCCATTCTGTTATACATAATATTAAGGGAGAAAACATGAATGAGTTATTATGGGAGCGGTATTGAAAGAGTTTACATGTGTTGTCGTTTCGAGGAGATCGTGGTAGCTCTTGGAGAGGGCATGAGGCGTTGTTTACAGAGTCATTCTAATGTGTCTAGTCACAATTTTTCCGCTGGAGACTACGTTGGTTTATACAACCATTTTGCCGAATACGATTGGTCATCGATCATTCGATGCACTGACGTCGATGAACAGGTTCGTGAGTTCACACGCATCGTTCGAGAAGGGATGCACCAGTTTATCCCGTTACGGAGAACCGCAGGTTCTAGGTTTCCCTTTTGGTTCTCACGTGAATTACGCAGATTAATGAATAAGAAATTGCACGCTCACAGAAAATTTAAAAAGAACGGTCTCCCTGGATGGAAATCAGAATTTAGGCGTCTAAGGTCTTCATGCAGGGAAGTTATGAGGCGTGATCGTCAGAGGTACGTTAATTCTGTTGAGCTGCATTTAACTCAGAATCCCATGGAATTTTGGAAATACGTTCGGTCTCGATCAAAGACAAAATGTGGGAGGGAGATCACATTGCTGAACTCACAGGGAAACTCGACCACAGATGTTTGCGAAATTTTTGCCCACCACTTCCAGTCCGTATTTAGGCATCAACCGAACTCTCCCATTAACGCCGCGCCAGCTGCCTCTAGTAATTCAACCTGTATTGCGTTTTTTGATGAGGAGCTATTACATGAGTGTGTAAAGAAGATGAAGCCGTCTTTGTCTTCTGGCCATGACGGCATTCCGTCGGTCCTATTGAAGGCCTATAGTGCAATATTTATCCCTATTTTGGTACACATCTTTAACAACTGCGTAAAAACCGAAGTGTTTCCCGTCTTGTGGAAAACTGAGTACTTGTTGTACCCGTACATAAGTCCGGTTCAAGAACAAGCGTCTCAAATTACAGGCCTATATCTCTTCTTTGTACATTTTCAAAACTCTTCGAAACAGCTTTACACAAAACATTGTCGTTTAAGCTCAAACATTCTCTCATCCCTAGCCAACATGGTTTTATGGCGGGTCGCTCAACCACGACTAACCTCACTTGTTTCATGTCAACTGCTGCTCAGGTCGTCTCTAATAGAGGCCAACTTGATGTAATCTACTTTGATCTAAGCAAAGCGTTTGCTCTTGTAAATCACGACATGTTGCTGGCAAAGCTGTCAAGGCTTGATGTCCACAGGTCGTTACTTTTATTGCTCAAAAGTTACTTGCGTGATAGACTGTGTTTCGTCAGCTCGAATGGTAATTCGTCTGCTGCTTATCAGGCTACGACGGGTGTACCTCAAGGTTCCGTTCTTGGCCCCCTTCTGTTTTCAGTTTTTGTGAATGATGTTTCGGCTGTGATCCGTCACTCCTCCTTTCTACAATATGCAGATGACATTAGGATGTTTATAGAGGTACGAGACGAACGCGACTGTGTTCTGCTACAAAATGATGTACATGCATTTGAAAACTGGTGCAATCAGAATGCCCTAAAACTAAATAGTTCGAAAACTAAAGCCATGTCCTACACTCGAAAGACACATAATATTATATTCTCCTATGACATTCACTCAGTTCTTTTGACACGTGTGAATGAAATCAAAGACCTTGGAGTTGTATTTGATAGTACATTACGCTTTTCGAGTCATGTTGACCATATTGTGAGCTCAGCTTTACGTACGCTTGGTATCACGTGCCGCATTACTAAAAAATTTAATAACCCTAGTACTTTTGTCACACTGTGCAGTGCTTTATGTCGACCACACGTCGAGTATGCCTCTGTTGTATGGAATGGAATCTGCGCGACAACCTCGGCTAGAATCGAACATGTTCAGAACAAGTTCTTATGTATCTACAGACATCGTTTCACCCACCTTCGGATATTTCCATATTATAATAAAAGTTTGCATCATCATCGTCGCGCAATGCGTCTACCTCAAACGATGATCCAGCAGTCCCAGTCCAACATAGCTTGGCATTGCCCACCCTGCGGCGTAG